TATTTTGCACACGCTAGGCCCTTGTTCTTGCTATTTTGCACACGGTAGGCCCTTGTTCTTCCAATTTTGCACTCGCTAGCCCCTTGTTCTTGCAATTTTGCACACGCTAGGCTCTTGTTCTTCAAATTTTGCACTCGCTAGGCCCCTAGTTCTTGCAATTTTGCACACACTAGGCCCTTGTTCTTGCTATTTTGCATATGCTAGGCCCTTGTTATTGCTATTTTGCACACGCTAGGCCCTTATTCTTGAAATTTTGCACATGCTAGGCCCGTGTTCTTGCCATTTTGCACACGGTAGGCCCTTGTTCTTCCAATTTTGCAATCGCTAGGCCCTTGTTCTTGCAATTTTGCACACGCTAGGCCCTTGTTCTTGCAATTTTGCACTCGCTAGGCCCTTGTTCTTGCAATTTTGCACACGCTAGGCCCTTGTTCTTGCAATTTTGCACCCGCTAGGCCCATGTTCTTGCTATTTTGCACACGCTAGGCCCTTGTTCTTGCTATTTTGCACTCGCCAGGCCCTAATTCTTGCTAGTTTGCACACGCTAGGCCCTTGTTCTTGAACGTTTGCACACGCTAGGCCCTTGTTCTTGCAATTTTGCACTCGCTAAGCCCTTGTTTTTGCAAATTTGCACACGCTAGGCCCCTGTTCTTGCAATTTTGCACTCCCTAGGCCCATGCTCTTGCTATTTTGCACACGCTAGGCTCTTGTTCTTGTTATTTTGCACTCGCTAGGCCCTTTTTCTTGCTATTTTGCACAAGCTAGGCCCTTGTTCTTGCAATTTTGCACACGTTAGGCCCTTGTTCTTGCAATTTTGCACACGCTAAGCCCTTGTTCTAGCTATTTTGCACACGCTAGGCCCTTGTTCTTGCAATTTTGCACACGCTAAGCCCTTGTTCTAGCTATTTTGCACACGCTAGGCCCTTGTTCTTGCAATTTTGCACTCGCTAGGCCCTTGTTCTTGCTATTTTGCACACGCTAGGCCCTTGTTCTTGCTATTTTGCACTCGCTAGGCCCTTATTCTTGCTATTTTGCACACGCTAGGCCCTTGTTCTTGAATGATTGCACGCGCTAGGCCCTTGTTCTTGCAATTTTGCACACGCTAGGCCCTTGTTCTTGCAATTTTGCACTCGCTAGGCCCTTGTTCTTGCAATTTTGCACTCGCTAGGCCCTTATTCTTGCTAGTTTGCACACGCTAGGCCCTTGTTCTTGAACGTTTGCACACGCTAGGCCCTTGTTCTTCCAATTTTGCACACGCTAGGCCCTTGTTCTAGCTATTTTGCACACGCTAGGCCCTTGTTCTTGCAATTTTGCACATGCCAGGCCCTTGTTCTTCAAATTTTGAACACGCTAGGCCCTTGTTCTTGCAATTTTGCACTCGCTAGGCCCTTGTCTTTGCAATTTTGCACATGCTAGGCCCGTTTTCTTACTATTTTGCACTCGCTAGGCCCTTTTTCTTGCAATTTTGCACACGCTAGGCCCTTGTTCTTGCTATTTTGCACACGCTATGCCCTTGTTCTTGCTATTTTGCACACGCTAGGCCCTTGTTCTTCCCTCTCGTCCTCCTCTTCCCCTCCTACCAGGTTTAGTGCTACTCTAATGTTCTTTTGTGGGACTTGTGAGTTAATTGTGATTGAGTTAAATTTCTTTGGCAGCATACCCCCTAGTGCGCCAAAAAGCATAACTCGAGATATTCATCATATTTTGATACGAATCGAATTGGGAAATGTAGCCACGGTCTAGGGCTACAACCTAGTCGAATTTTGTGAGATTCTAACAGTGCACGTTTCGTGAGCAACTTTTCTTGTGAAGTCGACGTTTCTGTCCAGAAATTGAGACCAACGATTTTGAGAAATTTGAGTACCTAATATTCATAGACTCCGTCCTTAGTCTGTAACACGCAAGACCATGGCAACGCTCTAGGGTGTCCAGCAAGAGCATTGCAACGCTCTCGGGTGTCCGGCAAGTGCATTGCAACGCTCTGGGGTGTCCGGCAAGAGCATTGCAACGCTTCGGGGTGTCCGGCAAGAGCCTTGCAACACTCCACGGTGTCCGGCAAGAATGTTGCAACACTCCGGGGTGTCCGGCAAGAGCATCGCAACGCTCTCGGGTGGTCGGCAAGAGCATTGCAACGCTCCAGGGTGGTCGGCAAGAGCATTGCAGCGCTCTAGGGTGTCCGGCAAGAGCCTTGCAACACTCCAGGGTGTCCGGCAGGAGCATTGCAATGCTCCGGGGTGTCACGGAAGAGCATTGCAACGCTCCAGGGTGTTCGGCAAGAGCATTGCAACGCTCCAGTGTGTCCTGAAAGAGCATTGCAATGCTCCAGGGTGTCCAGCAAGAGCATTGCAACGCTCCAAGGTGTCCGGCAACAGCATTGCAACGCTCCAGGGTGTCCGGCAAGAGCATTGTAACGCTCCATGGTGTCCGGCAAGTGCAGTGCAACGCTCCAGGATGTCCGGCAAGAGCATTGCAACGCTCTATAGTGTCCGACAAAAGCATTGCAATGCTCCGAGGTGTCCGGCAAGTGCACTTCAACGCTCCGGGGTGTCTGGCAAGAGCACTGCAACGCTCCTGGGTGTCCGGCAAGAGCATTGCAACGATCCAGGGTGTTTGCCAAGAGCATTGCAACGCTCCAAGGTGTCCGGCAAGTACAATGCAACGCTCCGGGGTGTCCGGCAATAGCATTGCAATGCTACAGGGTGTCTCGCAAGACCATTGCAACGCTCCAGGGTGTCCAGCAAGAGCATTGCAACGCTTCGGGGTGTCCGGCAAGTGCATTGCAACGCTCCGGGGTGTCCTGCAAGAGCATTGAAACGCTTTAGGGTGTCCGGCAAGAGCCTTGCAACACTCCAGGGTGTCCGGCAAGAAGATTGCAACGCTCCAGGGTGTCCGGCAAGAGCATTGCAACGCCCTTGGATGGTCGCTAAGAGCATTGCAATGCTCCAGGGTGGTTGGCAAGAGCATTGCAGCGCTCCAGGGTGTCCGGCAAGAGCCTTGCAACGCTCCAGGGTGTCCGGCAGGAGCATTGCAGTGCTCCGGGGTGTCCAGCAAGAGCATTGCAACGCTCCAGGGCGTTCGGCAAGAGCATTGCAACGCTCCAGTGTGTGGCGGGGAGCATTGCTGTGCTCCAGGGTGTCCAGCAAGAGCATTACATCGCTCCGGGGTGTCCGGCAAGAGCATTGCAACGCTCTAGGGTGTCCGGCAAGAGCATTGCAACGCTCCAGGGTGTCCGGCAAGTGCAGTGCAATGCTCCAGGGTGTCCGGCAAGAGCATTGCAATGCTCCACGGTGTCCGGCAAAAGCATTGCAACGCTCCGAGGTGTCTGGATAAAAGCACTGCAACGCTTTGGGGTGTCCGGCAAGAGCACTGCAACGCTCCAGGGTGTCCGGCAAGAGCATTGCAACGATCCACGGTGTTTTTTAAGAGCATTGCAACAATCCAAGGTGTCCGGCAAGTGCAATGCAACGCTCCGGGGTGTCTGGCAAGAGCATTGCAATGCTACAGGGTGTCAGGCAAGATCATTGCAACACTCCACGGTGTCCAGCAAGAGCATTGCAACGCTCCGGGGTGTCCGGCAAGTGCATTGCAACGCTCCAAGGTGTCCGGCAAGAGCATTGCAACGCTTCGGGGTGTCCGGCAAGAGCCTTGCAACCCTCCAGGGTGTGCGGCAAGAACATTGCAACGCTCCGGGGTGTCCGGCAAGAACCTTGCAACGCTCCAGGGTGTACGGCAAGAACCTTGCAACGCTCCAGAGTGTCCAGCAGGAGCATTGCAACGCTCCGGGGTGTCGGGGAAGAGCATTGCAACGCTCCCGGGTGTTTGGCAAGAGCATTGTAACGCTCTAGGGTGTCTGGCAAAAGCATTGCAATGCTCCGAGGTGTCTGGCAAGTGCACTGCAATGCTCCGGGGTGTCCGGCAAGAGCATTGCAACGCTCCTGGGTGTCCAGCAAGAGCATTGCAACGATCCTGGGTGTTTGCCAAGAGTATTGCAACGCTCGAAAGTGTCCGGCAAGTGCAATGAAACGCTCCGGGGTGTCCGGCAAGAGCATTGCAATGCTACAGGGTGTCCAGCAAGAGCATTGTAATGCTCCGAGGTGTCTGGCAAGTGCAGTGCAATGCTCCGGGGTGTCCGGCAAGAGCATTGCAACGCTCCGGAGTGTTCGGCAAAGGCATTGCAACGCTCCGAGGTGCCCGGCAAGTGCAATGCTACAGGGTGTCAGGCAAGACCATTGCAACGCTCCAGGGTGTCCAGCAAGAGCATTGCAACGCTCCGGGGTGTCCGGCAAGTGCATTGCAACGCTTTGGGGTGTCCGGCAAGAGCATTGCACCGATCCAAGGTGTCTGGCAAGTGCAATGCAACGCTCCCGGGTGTCCGGCAAGAGCATTGCAATGCTACAGGGTGTATGGCAAGACCATTGCAATGCTTCTGGGTGTCCAAAAAGAGCATTGTAACGCTCTGGGGTATGCGGCAAGTGCATTGCAACGCTCTGGGGTGTCCGGCAAGAGCATTGCAATGCTTCGGGGTGTCCGGCCAGAGCCTTGCAACACTTTAGGGTGTCCGGCAAGAACGTTGCAACGCTCCGGGGTGTCCGACAAGAGCATTGCACCACTCTCGGGTGGTCGGCAAGAGCTTTGCAACGCTCCAGGGTGGTCGACAAGAGCATTGCAGCGCTCCAGGGTGTCCGGCAAGAGCCTTGCAACCCTCCAGGGTGTCCGCCAGGAGCATTGCATGCTCCAGGGTGTCCGGGAATAGCATTGCAGCGCTCTAGTGTGTCCCGGAAGAGCATTGCAATGCTCCAGGGTGTCCAGCAAGAGCATTGCAACGTTCCGGGGTGTCCGGCAAGAGCATTGCAACGCTCCAGGGTGTCCGTCAAGAGCATTGTAACGCTCCATGGTGTCCGGCAAGTGCAGTGCAACGCTCCTAGATGTCCGGCAAGAGCATTGCTACGCTCTAGGGTGTCTGGCAGAAGCATTGCAATGCTCCGAGGTGTCCGGCAAGTTCACTACAACGCTGCGAGGTGTCTGGCAAGAGCACTGCAACGCTCCTCGGTGTCCGGCAAGAGCATTGCAATGATCCAGGGTGTTTGCCAAGAGCATTGCAACACTCCAAGGTGTCTGGCAAGTGCAATGCAACGCTCCGGGGTGTCCGGCAAGAGCATTGCAATGCTATAGGGTGTCTGGCAAGACCATTGCAACGCTCCAGGGTGTCCAGCAAGAGCATTGCAACGCTCCGGGGTGTCCGGCAAGTGCATTGCAACGCTCCAGGGTGTCCGGCAAGAGCATTGCAACGCTTCGCGGTGTCCGGCAAGAGCCTTGCAACACTCTTGGGTGTCCGGCAAGAACATTGCAACGCTCCGGGTTGTCCGGCATGGACCTTCCAACGCTCCATGGTGTCCAGCAAGAACCTTGCAACTCTCCAGGGTGTCCGGCAGGAGCATTGCAACGCTCCCAAGTGTCCCGCAAGAGCATTGAGACGCTCAAGGGTGGCCGGCAAGAGCATTGTAACGCTCCATGGTGATCGGCAAGTGCGGTGCAACGCTCTCGGATGTCCGGCAAGAGCATTGCAACGCTCTTGCCGGACACATCCACGTCCACGTCCAGGCCCACGTCCAGGTCCACGTCCACGTCCACGTCCCAGACCACGTCCACGTCCACGTCCACAACCATGTCCACGTCCATGAACACGTCTATGACCACTTCCACGTCCACGTCCACGACCACGTCCACGTCCACGTCCACGACCACGTCCACGTCCACGTCCACGACCACGACCACGTCCATGTCCACATCCACGACCATGACCACGTCCACGTCCACGACCACGTCCACATCCACGACCACGACCACGTCCACGTCCACGACCACGTCCACGACCACGTCCACGTCCACGTCCACGACCACGTCCACGTCCACGACCACGTCCACGACCACGTCCACGACCACGTTCACGTCCACGTCACATCCACGACCACGTCCACGTCCACGTCCACGTCCACGTCCAAGTCCACGTCCACGTCCACGTCCACATCCACAACCACGTCCAGGTTCACGATCACGTCCACGTCCACGTCCACGTCCACGTCTTGGTCCACGTCCACGTCCACGACCACATCCACGTCCACGTCCACGTTCTCGTCCACAACCACGTCCACGTTCACGTCCACGTCCACGACCACGTCCACGTCCACGACCACGTCCACGTCCACGTCCACGTCCACGTCGACGACCATGTCCACATCCACGTCCACGTCCAGGTCCACGTCCATGTCCACGTCCACGACCACGTCCACGTCCACGTCCAAGTCTACGACCACGTCCACGTCCACGTCCAAGTCCACGTCAACATCCACGTCCACATCCAAGTCCATGTCCACGTCCAAGTCCAGGTCCAGGTCCACGTCAACGTCCATGACCATGTCCACGTCCACGACCACGTCCACGTCCACGTCCAGGTCCAGGTCCACGTCCACGACCACGTCCACGTCCACGACCACGTCCACGTCCACGACCACGTCCACGTCCACGTCTACGTCCACGACCACGTCCAAGTCCACGTCCAGGTCCACGTCCACGTCAACGTCCACGACCATGTCCACGACCACGTCCACGTACAGGTCCAGGTCCACGTCCACGACCACGTCCACTTCAACGACCACGTCCACGTCCACGACCACGTCTACGTCCACGTCCAAGTCCACGTCCACGTCCAGGTCCACGTCCACGTCCAAGTCCACGGCCACATCCAGGTCCACGTCCACGTCCACGTCCACGTCCACGTCCGCGTCCACAACCACGTCCGCGTCGACGACCACGTCCACGTCCACGTCCACGTCCAAGTCCACGTCCACGTCCACGTCCACGTCCACGTCCACGTCCACGACCACGTCCAAGTCCACGTCCACGTCCACGTCCTCGTCCACAACCACGTCCACGTTCACAACCACGTCCACGTCCAAGTCCACGACCACGTCCACGTCCACGTCCACGTCCACGACCACGTCCACGTCCACGTCAACGACCACGTCCACGTCCACGTCCAGGTCCACGTCCACGTCCACGTCCACGTCCACGACCACATCCACGTCCACGTCCAGGTCCACGACCACGTCCACGTCCACGTCCACGTTCAGGTCCACGTCCACGTCCACGTCCAGGTCCACGTCCACGTCAACGTCCACGACCACGTCCACGTCCACGACCACGTCCATGTCCACGACCACGTCCACGTCCACGTCCACGTCCACGTCCACGTCCACGTCCAAGTCCACGTCCACGTCCACGTCCAGGTCCATGTCCACGTCAACGTCCACGACCACATCCACGTCCACGACCACGTCAACGTCCATGTCCACGACCATGTCCACGTCCACGACCACGTCCACATCCACGTCCAGGTCCAGGTCCACGTCCACGACCACGTCCACGTCCACGACCACGTCCACGTCCACGTCCACGACCACGTCCACGTCCACGTCCACGTCCACGACCATGTCCACGTCCACGTCCACGTCCATGTCCACGACCACGTCCACGACCACGTCCACGTCCACGACCACGTCCACGTCCACGACCACGTCCATGTCCACGTCTGGTCCACGTCCACGTCCACGTCCACGTCCACGACCACGTCCACGTCAACGTCCACGTCCCGGTCCACGTCCACGTCCACGACCACGTCCACGACCACGTCCACGACCACGTCCACGTCCACGACCATGTCCATGTCCACGTCCACGACCATGTCCACATCCACGTCCACGACCACGTCGACGTCGACGTCCAAGTGCACGTCCACGTCCACGTCCAAGTCCACGTCCACGTCCACGTCCACAACCACGTCCAGGTTCACGACCACGTCCACGTCCATGTCCACGTCCTGGTCCACGTCCACGTCCACATCCACGTCGACGAACACGTCCACGTCCACGTCGACGTCCACGTCCACGACCACGTCCACGACCACGTCCACGTCCACAACCATGTCCAGGTCCATGTCCACGTCCACATCCACGTCCACGACCACGTCCACGACTACGTCCACGTCCACGACCATGCCACGTCCACGTCCAAGTCCACGTCCACGTCCACGTCCAGGTCCAGGTCCACGTCCACGTCCACGACCACGTCCACGTCGACGACCACGTCCACGTCCACGTCCACTTCCACGTCCACGACCACGTCCACGTTCTGGTCCACGTCCATGTCCTGGTCCACGTCCACGACCACGTCCACGTCCACGTCCACTTCCAAGTCCACGACCACGTCCACGTCCACGACCACGTCCACGACCACGTCCACGTCCCCGTCCACGTCCGCGTCCACAACCACGTCCGCGTCGACGACCACGTCCACGTCCAAGTCCACGTCCTAGTTCACGTCCACGTCCAGGTCCAAGTGCACGTCCACGTCCACGACAACGTCCATGTCCACGACCACGTCCACGTCCACGTCCACGACCACGTCCACGTCCACGACCACGTCCACGACCACGTCCACGACCACGTTCACGTCCACGTCACATCCACGACCACGTCCACGTCCACGTCCACGTCCACGTCCAAGTCCACGTCCACGTCCACGTCCACATCCACAACCACGTCCAGGTTCACGACCACGTCCACGTCCACGTCCACGTCCACGTCCACGTCTTGGTCCACGTCCACGTCCACGACCACATCCACGTCCACGTCCACGTTCTCGTCCACAACCACGTCCACGTCCACGTCCACGTCCACGACCACGTCCACGTCCACGTCCACGACCACGTCCACGTCCACGTCCACGTCCACGTCGACGACCATGTCCACATCCACGTCCACGTCCAGGTCCACGTCCATGTCCACGTCCACGACCACGTCCACGTCCACGTCCAAGTCTACGACCACGTCCACGTCCACGTCCAAGTCCACGTCAACATCCACGTCCACATCCAAGTCCATGTCCACGTCCAAGTCCAGGTCCAGGTCCACGTCAACGTCCATGACCATGTCCACGTCCACGACCACGTCCACGTCCACGTCCAGGTCCAGGTCCACGTCCACGACCACGTCCACGTCCACGACCACGTCCACGTCCACGACCACGTCCACGTCCACGTCTACGTCCACGACCACGTCCAAGTCCACGTCCAGGTCCACGTCCACGTCAACGTCCACGACCATGTCCACGACCACGTCCACGTACAGGTCCAGGTCCACGTCCACGACCACGTCCACTTCAACGACCACGTCCACGTCCACGACCACGTCTACGTCCACGTCCAAGTCCACGTCCACGTCCAGGTCCAGGTCCACGTCCAAGTCCACGGCCACATCCAGGTCCACGTCCACGTCCACGTCCACGTCCGCGTCCACAACCACGTCCGCGTCGACGACCACGTCCACGTCCACGTCCACGTCCAAGTCCACGTCCACGTCCACGTCCACGTCCACGTCCACGACCACGTCCAAGTCCACGTCCACGTCCACGTCCTCGTCCACAACCACGTCCACGTTCACAACCACGTCCACGTCCAAGTCCACGACCACGTCCACGTCCACGTCCACGTCCACGTCCACGACCACGTCCACGTCCACGTCAACGACCACGTCCACGTCCACGTCCAGGTCCACGTCCACGTCCACGTCCACGACCACATCCACGTCCACGTCCAGGTCCACGACCACGTCCACGTCCACGTCCACGTTCAGGTCCACGTCCACGTCCACGTCCACGTCCAGGTCCACGTCCACGTCAACGTCCACGACCACATCCACGTCCACGACCACGTCCATGTCCACGACCACGTCCACGTCCACGTCCACGTCCACGTCCACGTCCAAGTCCACGTCCACGTCCACGTCCAGGTCCATGTCCACGTCAACGTCCACGACCACATCCACGTCCACGACCACGTCAACGTCCATGTCCACGACCATGTCCACGTCCACGACCACGTCCACATCCACGTCCAGGTCCAGGTCCACGTCCACGACCACGTCCACGTCCACGACCACGTCCACGTCCACGTCCACGACCACGTCCACGTCCACGTCCACGTCCACGACCATGTCCACGTCCACGTCCACGTCCATGTCCACGACCACGTCCACGACCACGTCCACGTCCACGACCACGTCCACGTCCACGACCACGTCCATGTCCACGTCTGGTCCACGTCCACGTCCACGTCCACGTCCACGACCACGTCCACGTCAACGTCCACGTCCCGGTCCACGTCCACGTCCACGTCCACGACCACGTCCACGACCACGTCCACGACCACGTCCACGTCCACGACCATGTCCATGTCCACGTCCACGACCATGTCCACATCCACGTCCACGACCACGTCGACGTCGACGTCCAAGTGCACGTCCACGTCCACGTCCAAGTCCACGTCCACGTCCACGTCCACAACCACGTCCAGGTTCACGACCACGTCCACGTCCATGTCCACGTCCTGGTCCACGTCCACGTCCACATCCACGTCGACGAAGACGTCCACGTCCACGTCGACGTCCACGTCCACGACCACGTCCACGACCACGTCCACGTCCACAACCATGTCCAGGTCCATGTCCACGTCCACATCCACGTCCACGACCACGTCCACGACTACGTCCACGTCCACGACCATGCCACGTCCACGTCCAAGTCCACGTCCACGTCCACGTCCAGGTCCACGTCCACGTCCACGTCCACGTCCACGACCACGTCCACGTCGACGACCACGTCCACGTCCACGTCCACTTCCACGTCCACGACCACGTCCACGTCCTGGTCCACGTCCATGTCCTGGTCCACGTCCACGACCACGTCCACGTCCACGTCCACGTCCACTTCCAAGTCCACGACCACGTCCACGTCCACGACCACGTCCACGACCACGTCCACGTCCCCGTCCACGTCCGCGTCCACAACCACGTCCGCGTCGACGACCACGTCCACGTCCAAGTCCACGTCCTAGTTCACGTCCACGTCCAGGTCCAAGTGCACGTCCACGTCCACGACAACGTCCATGTCCACGACCACGTCCACGTCCACGTCCACGTCCACGACCAGGACCGCGTCCACGTCCACGACCACGTCCACGTCCACGTCCACGTCCACGACCACGTCCACGACCACGTCCACGTCCACGTCCACGTCCACCAACCAAGTCCACGTCCACGTCCAAGTCCACGTCCACGTCCACGACCACGTCCACGTACACGACCACGTCCACGACCACGTTCACGACCACGTCCACGTCCACGTCCAAGTCCAAGTCCACGTCCATGTCCACGTCCACGACCACGTCCACGTCCACGTCCAGGACCACGTCCACGTCCACGTTCACGTCCACGAACACGTCCACGACCATGTCCACGACCACGTCCACGTCCACGACCACGTCCACGTCCACGTCTACGTCCACGTCCACGACCACGTCCACTTCCAGGTCCACGTCCACGTCCACGTCCACGTCCACGTCCACGAACATGTCCACGTTCACGTCCACGTCCATGTCCACGACCACGTCCACGACCACGTCCACGTCCACGACCACGTCCACGTCCACGACCACGTCCATGTCCACGTCTGGTCCACGTCCACATCCACGTCCACGTCCACGACCACGTCCACGTCCACGTCCACGTCCCGGTCCACGTCCACGTCCACGTCCACGACCACGTCCACGACCACGTCCACGACCACGTTCACCTCCACGACCATGTCCATGTCCACGTCCACGACCATGTCCACATCCACGTCCACGACCACGCCGACGTCGACGTCCAAGTCCACGTCCACGTCCAAGTCCACGTCCACGTCCACGTCCACAACCACGTCCAGGTTCACAACCACGTCCACGTCCACGTCCACGTCCTGGTCCACTTCCACGTCCACATCCACGTCGACGAACACGTCCACGTCCACGTCGACGTCCACGTCCACGACCACGTCCACGACCACGTCCACGACCACGTCCACGTCCACGACCATGTCCAGGTCCATGTCCACGTCCACATCCACGTCCACGACCACGTCCACGTCCACGACTACGTCCACGTCCACGACCATGCCACATCCACGTCCACGTCCACGTCCAAGTCCACGTCCACGTCCACGTCCAGGTCCACGTCCACGTCCACGTCCACGTCCACGACCACGTCCACGTCGACGACCACGTCCACGTCCACGTCCACTTCCACGTCCACGACCACGTCCACGTCCAAGTCCACGTCCATGTCGAGGTCCACGTCCACGTCCACGACCACGTTTACGTCCACGTCCAAGTCCACGACCACGTCCACGTCCACGACCACGTCCACGTCCACGACCACGTCCACGTCCACGTCCACGACCACGTCCACGTCGACGACCACGTCCACGTCCACGTCCACTTCCACTTCCACGACCACGTCCACGTCCAGGTCCACGTCCATGTCCAGGTCCACGTCCACGTCCACGACCACGTCCACGTCCACGTCCATTTCCAAGTCCACGACCACGTCCACGTCCACGACCACGTCCACGACCACGTCCACGTCCACGTCCCCGTCCACGTCCGCGTCCACAACCACGTCCGCGTCGACGACCACGTCCACGTCCAAGTCCACGTCCTAGTTCACGTCCACGTCCAGGTCCAAGTGCACGTCCACGTCCACGACAACGTCCATGTCCACGACCACGTCCACGTCCACGTCCACGTCCACAAACAGGACCACGTCCACGTCCACGACCACGTCCACGTCCACGTCCAAGTCCAGGTCCACGTCCACATCCACGTCCACGTCCACGTCCACGTCCACGTCCACGACCACGTCCACGACCACGTCCACGTCCACGTCCACGTCCACAACCACGTCAACGTCCACGTCCAAGTCCATGTCCACGTCCACGACCACGTCCACGTACACGACCACGTCCACGACCACGTCCACGACCACGTCCACGTCCACGTCCAAGTCCAAGTCCACGTCCATGTCCACGTCCACGACCACGTCCACGTCCACGTCCAGGAACACGTCCACGTCCACGTTCACGTCCACGAACACGTCCACGACCACGTCCACGACCACGTCCACGTCCACGACCACGTCCACGTCCACGTCTACGTCCACATCCACGACCACGTCCACTTCCACGTCCACGTCCACGTCCACGTCCACGACAACGTCTATGTCCACGTCCACGTCCACGTAGACGTCCACGTCCACGTCCATAACCACGTCCACGTCCACGTCCACATCCACGTCCACATCCAAGTCCACGTCCACGTCCACCTCCACCTCCACGTCCACGTCCACGTCCACATCCACGTCCACGTCCAAGTCCACGTCCAGGTCCAGGTCCAGGTCCAGGTCCAGGTCCACATCCACGTACAAGTCCACGTCCACGTCCACGTCCAAGTCCAGGTCGAGGTCCACGTCCACGTCCACGTCCACGACCACGTCCACGTCCACGTCCAGGTCCACGTCCACGTCAACGTCCACGACCACGTCCACGTCCACGTCCACATCCACGTCCACGACCACGTCCACGTCCACGTCCACGACCACGTCCACGACCACGTCCACGACCACGTCCATGACCACGTCCACGTCCACGTCCAGGTCCAGGTCCACGTCCACGTCCACGACCACGTCTACGTCCACGTCCAGGTCCACGACCACGTCCACGTCCACGTCCACGTTCAGGTCCACGTCCACGTCCACGTCCAAGTCCAGGTCCAGGTCCACGTCCACGTCCACGTCCAGGTCCACGTCCACGTCAACGTCAACGACCACGTCCACGTCCACGACCACGTCCACGTCTACGTCCACGACCACGTCCACGTCCACGTCCACGACCATGTCCACGTCCACGTCCACGTCCAAGTCCACGTCCACGTCCACGTCCAGGTCCATGTCCACGTCAACGTCCACGACCACATCCACGTCCACGACCACGTCAAGGTCCACGTCCACGACCATGTCCACGTCCACGACCACGTCCACGTCCAGGTCCAGGTCCACGTCCACGACCACGTCCACGTCCACGACCACGTCCACGTCCACGAACACGTCCACGTCCACGTCCACGTCCACGACCATGTCCACGTCCACGTCCACGTCCATGTCCACGACCACGTCTACGACCACGTCCACGTCCACGACCACGTCCACGTCCACGTCCACGACCACGTCCATGTCCATGTCTGGTCCACGTCCACATCCACGTCCACTTCCACGACCACGTCCACGTCGACGTCGACGTCCACGTCCCGGTCCACGTCCACGTCCACGTCCACGACCACGTCCACGACCACGTCCACGACCACGTCCACGACCATGTCCACCTCCACGTCCACGACCACGTCGACGTCGACGTCCAAGTCCACGTCCACGTCCACGTCCACGTCCAAGTCCACGTCCACGTCCACGTCCACAACCACGTCCAGGTTCACGACCACGTCCACGTCCACGTCCACGTCGTGGTCCACGTCCACGTCCACATCCACGTCCACGAACACGTCCACGTCCACGTCGACGTCCACGTCCACGACCACGTCCACGACCACGTCCACGTCCACGACCATGTCGAGGTCCATGTCTACGTCCACATCCACGTCCACGACCACGTCCACGTCCACGACTACGTCCACGTCCACGACCATGCCACGTCCACGTCCACGTCCACGTCCAAGTCCACGTCCACGACCACGTCCAGGTCCACGTCTACGTCCACGTCCACGTCCACGACCACGTCCACATCGACGACCACGTCCACGTCCATGTCCACTTCCACGTCCACGACCACGTCCACGTCCAGGTCCACGTCCATGTCCAGGTCCACGTCCACGTCCACGACCACGTCCACGTCCACGTCCACGTCCAAGTCCACGACCACGTCCACGTCCACGACCACGTCCACGTCCACGACCACGTCTACGTCCACGTCCACGTCCACAACCATGTCCACGTCCACGTCCACGTCCATGTCCACGACCACGTCCACGACCACGTCCACGTCCACGACCACGTCCACGTCCACGTCCACGACCACGTCCATGTCCACGTCTGGTCCACGTCCACATCCAGGTCCACGTCCACGACCACGTCCACGTCCACGTCGACGTCCACGTCCACGTCCCGGTCCACGTCCACGTCCACGTCCACGACCACGTCCACGACCACGTCCACGACCACGTCCACGTCCACGACCATGTCCATGTCCACGTCCACGACCATGTCCACATCCACGTCCACGACCACGTCGACGTCGACGTCTAAGTCCACGTCCACGTCCACGTCCAAGTCCACGTCCACGTCCACGTCCACAACCATGTCCAGGTTCACGACCACGTCCACGTCCACGTCCACGTCCTGGTCCACGTCCACGTCGACATCCACGTCCACGAACACGTCCACGTCCACGTCGACGTCCACGTCCACGACCACGTCCACGACCACGTCCACGTCCACGACCATGTCGAGGTCCATGTCTACGTCCACATCCACGTCCACGACCACGTCCACGTCCACGACTACGTCCACGTCCACGACCATGCCACGTCCACGTCCACGTCCACGTCCACGTCCAAGTCCACGTCCACGTCCACGTCCAGGTCCACGTCCACGTCCACGTCCACGTCCACGACCACGTCCACGTCGACGACCACGTCCACGTCCATGTCCACTTCCACGTTTACGACCACGTCCACGTCCAGGTCCACGTCCATGTCCAGGTCCACGTCCACGTCCACGACCACGTCCACGTCCACGTCCACGACCACGTCCAAGTCCACGTCCACGTCCAGGTCTACATCCACGTCCACGTCCACGTCCAAGTCCACGTCCACGTCCACGTCCAGGTCCACGTCCAAGTCCACGTCCACGTCCACGACCACGTCCACGTCGACGACCACGTCCACGTCCACGTCCACTTCCACCTCCACGACCACGTCCACGTCCAGGTCCACGTCCATGTCCAGGTCCACGTCCACGTCCACGACCACGTCCACGTCCACGTCCAAGTCCATGACCACGTCCACGACCACGTCCACGTCCACGACCACGTCCACGTCCACGTCCACGACCACGTCCACGTCGACGACCACGTCCACGTCCACGTCCATTTCCACGTCCACGACCACATCCACGTCCAGGTCCACGTCCATGTCCAGGTCCACGTCCACGTCCACAACCACGTCCACGTCCACGTCCACTTCCATGTCCACGACCACGTCCACGTCCACGACCACGTCCACGACCACGTCCATGTCCCCGTCCACGTCCGCGTCCACAACCACGTCCTCGTCGACGACCACGTCCACGTCCAAGTCCACGTCCAAGTTCACGTCCACGTCCAGGTCCAAGTCCACGTCCACGTCCACGACAACGTCCATGTTCACGACCACGTCCACGTCCACGTCCACGTCCACGACCAGGACCGCGTCCACTTCCACGACCACGTCCACGTCCACGTCCAAGTCCAGGTCCACGTCCACATCCACGTCCACGTCCACGTCCACGTCCACGACCACGTCCACGACCACGTCCACGTCCACGTCCACAACCACGTCCACGTCCACGTCCAAGTCCACGTCCACGTCCACGACCACGTCCACGTACACGACCACGTCCACGACCACGTCCATGACCACGTCCACGTCCACGTCCAAGTCCAAGTCCACGTCCATGTCCACGTCCACGACCACGTCCACGTCCACGTCCACGACCACGTCCACGTCCACGTTCACGTCCACGAACACGTCCACGACCACGTCCACGACCACGTCCACGTCCACGACCACGTCCACGTCCACGTCTACGTCCACGTCCACGACCACGTCCACTTCCACGTCCACGTCCACGTCCACGTCCACGACAACGTCTATGTCCACGTCCACGTCCACGTAGACGTCCACGTCCACGTCCATGACCACGTCCACGTCCACGTCCACATCCACGTCCACATCCAAGTCCACGTCCACGTCCACGTCCACGTCCACCTCCATGTCCACGTCCACGTCCACGTCGACATCCACGTCCACGTCCACGTCCACGTCCACGTCCATGACCACGTCCACTTCCACGCCCACATCCACGTCCACATCCAAGTCCACGTCCACGTCCACGTCCACATCCACCTCCACGTCCACGTCCACGTCCACGTCCACGTCCAAGTCCATGTCCACGTCCAGGTCCAGGTCCACGTCCACGTCCAAGTCCACGTCCACGTCCAGGTCCAAGTCTACGTCCACGTCCAGGTCCAAGTCCAGGTCGAGGAACACGTCCACGTCCAGGTCCATGTCCAGGTCCACGTCCAAGACCACGTCCACGTCTACCTCCACGACCACGTCCACGTCCACGACCACGTCCACGTCCACGTCCGCGACCACGTCCACGTCAACGTCCACGACCACGTCCATGTCCACGAACATGACCATGTCCACTTCCACGTCCATGACCACGTCCATGTCCACGTCCACGACCACGACCACGTCCACGACCACGTCCACGTCCACGTCCACGACCACGACCACGTCCACGTCCACGTCCACGACCACGTCCGCGTCCACGTACAGGTCCACGACCACGTCCACGTCCACGTTGAGGTCCACGTCCACGTCCACGTTCAAGTCCAGGTCCAGTTCCACGTCCACGTCCACGTCCAAGTCCATGTCCACATCAACGTCCACGACCACGTCCACGTCCACGACCACGTCCACGTCCACGACCACGTCCACGTCCATGACCACGTCCACGTCCACGACCACGTCAACGTCCACGTCCACGTCCATGGCCACGTCCACGTCGACGACCACGTCCACGTCCACGTCCACTTCCACGTCCACGACCACGCCCACGTCTAGGTCCACGTCCATGTCCAGGTCCACGTCCACGTCCACGTCCACGTCCACTTCCAAGTCCACGACCACGTCCACGTCCACGACCACGTCCACGACAACGTCCACGTCCACGTCCGCGTCCACAACCACGTCCACGTCGACGACCACGTCCACGTCCAAGTCCACGTCCAAGTTCACGTCCACGTCCAGATCCAAGTCCACGTCCACGTCCATGACCACGTCCATGTCCACAACCACGTCCACGTCCACGTCCACGTCCACGTCCACAACCACGACCACGTCCACGTCCACGACCACGTCCATGTCCACGTCCAAGTCCAGGTCCACGTCCACATCCACGTCCACGTCCACGTCCACGTCCACGTCCATGACCACGTCCACGTCCACGACCACGTCCACGTACACGACCACGTCCACGACCACGTCCACGACCACGTCCACGTCCACGTCCAAGTCCACGTCCATGTCCACGTCCACGACCACGTCCACGTCCACGTCCACGACCACGTCCACGTCCACGTTCTCGTCCACGAACACGTCCACGACCACGTCCACGACCACGTCCACGTCCACGACCACGTCCACGTCCACGTCTACGTCCACTTCAACGACCACGTCCACTTCCACGTCCACGTCCACGTCCACGACAACGTCTATGTCCACGTCCACGTCCACGTAGACGTCCACGTCCACGTCCATGACCACGTCCACGTCCACGTCCATATCCACGTCCACATCCAAGTCCACGTCCACGTCCACGTCCACGTCCACCTCCACGTCCACGTCCACGTCCACGTCCACATCCACGTCCACGTCCAAGTCCACGTCCACGTCCAGGTCCAGGTCCAGGTCCACGTCCACATCCAAGTCCACGTCCACGTCCAGGTCCAAGTCCAGGTCGAGGTCCACGTCCACGTGCACGTCCAGGTCCATGTCCAGGTCCATGTCCACGACCACGTCCACGTCCACCTCCACGACCAAATCCACGTCCACGTCCATTTCCACAACCACGTCCACGTCCACGTCCACGACCACGACCACGTCCACGTCAACGTCCACGACCACGTCCATGTCCACGAACACGACCACGTCCACGTCCACGACCACGTCCACGTCCATGTCTACGTCCACGTCCACGACCACGTCCATGTCCACGTCCACGACCACGACCACGTCCACGACCACGTCCACGTCCACGTCCACGACCACTTCCACGACCACGTCCACGTCCACGTCCACGTCCACGACCACGTCCACGTCCACGTCCAGGTCCACGACCACGTCCACGTCCACGTTCAGGTCCACGTCCACGTCCACGTCCAAGTCCAGGTCCAGGTCCACGTCCACGTCCACGTCCAGGTCCATGTCCACGTCAACGTCCACGACCACGTCCACGTCCACGACCACATCTACGTCCACGTCCACGACCACGTCCACGTCCACGTCCACAACCACGTCCAAGACCACGTCCACGTCCAAGTCCACGTCCACGTCCATGTCCAGGTCCACGTCCACGTCAACGTCCACGACCACGTCCACGTCCACGACCACGTCCACGTCCACGTCCATGTCCACGACCACGTCCACGACCACGTCCATGTCCACGACCACGTCCACGTCCACGTCCATGTCCACGTCCACGACCACGTCCACGACCACGTCCACTCCACGTCCACGTCCACGTCCACGACCACGTCCACGACCACGTCCACGTCCACGTCCACGACCACGTCCACGTCCACGTCCACGTCCAAGTCCACGTCCACGTCCACGTCCACGTCCACGTCCAGGTTCACGACCACGTCCACGTCCACGTCCACGTCCTGGTCCACGTCCACGTCCATGTCCACGACCACGTCCACGTCCATGTCCACGTCCACGTCCACGACCACGTCCACGTCCACGACCACGTCCAAGTCCACGACCACGTCCACGTCCACGTCCACGTCCACGTCCACGACCACGTCCACGACCACGTCCACTCCACGTCCACGTCCACGTCCACGACCACGTCCACAACCACGTCTACGTCCACGTCCACGTCCAAGTCCACGTCCACGTCCACGTCCACCTCCACGTCCAGGTTCACGACCACGTCCACGTCCACGTCCACGTCCTGGTCCACATCCACGTCCACATCCACGTCCACGAACACGTCCACGTCCACGTCCACGACCACGTCCACGACCACGTCCACGTCCACGTCCACGACCATGTCCAGGTCCATGTCCACGTCCACATCCACGTCCACGATCACGTCCACGTCCACGACTACGTCCGCGTCTACAACCATGCCACGTCCACGTCCACGTCCACGTCCACGACCACGTCCACGTCCACGTCTACGTCCATGTCCATGTCCAGATCCACGTCCACGTCCACGTCCACGTCCACGACCACGTCCACGTCGACGACCACGTCCACGTCCACGTCCACTTCCGCGTCCACGACCACGTCCACGTCCAGGTCCACGTCCATGTCCAGGTTCACGTCCACGTCCACGACCACCTCCACGTCCACGTCCACGTCCAAGTCCACGACCACGTCCACGTCCACGACCACGTCCACGTCCATGTCCACGTCCACGACCACGTCCACGTCGACGACCACGTCCACGTCCACGTCCACTTCCACGTCCACGACCACGTCCACGTCCAGGTCCACATCCAGGTCCAGGTCCACGTCCACGACCACGTCCACGTCCACGTCCACTTCCAAGTCCACGACCACGTCCAAGACCACATCCACAACCACGTCCACGCCCACGTCCACGTCCGCGTCCACAACCACGTCCGCGTCAACGATCATGTCCACGTCCACGTCCACGTCCAAGTTCACGTCCACGTCCAGGTCCAAGTCCACGTCCACGTCCACGACCACGTCCATGTCCACGACCACGTCCACGTCCACGTCCACGTCCACGTCCACGACCACGACCACGTCCACGTCCACGACCATGTCCACGTCCAAGTCCAGGTCCACGTCCACATCCACGTCCACGTCCACGTCCACGACCACGTCCACGACCACGTCCACGTCCACGTCCACGTCCACGTCCACGTCCACAACCACGTCAACGTCCACGACCACGTCCACGTCCACGACCACGTCCACGTCCACGTCCACGACCACGTCCACGTCGACGACCACGTCCACGTCCACGTCCATTTCCACGTCCACGACCACATCCACGTCCAGGTCCACGTCCATGTCCAGGTCCACGTCCACGTCCACGACCACGTCCACGTCCACGTCCACTTCCATGTCCACGACCACGTCCACGTCCACGACCACGTCCACGACCACGTCCATGTCCCCGTCCACGTCCGCGTCCACAACCACGTCCTCGTCGACGACCACGTCCACGTCCAAGTCCACGTCCAAGTTCACGTCCACGTCCAGGTCCAAGTCCACGTCCACGTCCACGACAACGTCCATGTTCACGACCACGTCCACGTCCACGTCCACGTCCACGACCAGGACCGCGTCCACTTCCACGACCACGTCCACGTCCACGTCCAAGTCCAGGTCCACGTCCACATCCACGTCCACGTCCACGTCCACGTCCACGACCACGTCCACGACCACGTCCACGTCCACGTCCACGTCCACAACCACGTCCACGTCCACGTCCAAGTCCACGTCCACGTCCACGACCACGTCCACGTACACGACCACGTCCACGACCACGTCCATGACCACGTCCACGTCCACGTCCAAGTCCAAGTCCACGTCCATGTCCACGTCCACGACCACGTCCACGTCCACGTCCACGACCACGTCCACGTCCACGTTCACGTCCACGAACACGTCCACGACCACGTCCACGACCACGTCCACGTCCACGACCACGTCCACGTCCACGTCTACGTCCACGTCCACGACCACGTCCACTTCCACGTCCACGTCCACGTCCACGTCCACGACAACGTCTATGTCCACGTCCACGTCCACGTAGACGTCCACGTCCACGTCCATGACCACGTCCACGTCCACGTCCACATCCACGTCCACATCCAAGTCCACGTCCACGTCCACGTCCACGTCCACCTCCATGTCCACGTCCACGTCCACGTCGACATCCACGTCCACGTCCACGTCCACGTCCATGACCACGTCCACTTCCACGCCCACATCCACGTCCACATCCAAGTCCACGTCCACGTCCACGTCCACATCCACCTCCACGTCCACGTCCACGTCCACGTCCACGTCCAAGTCCATGTCCACGTCCAGGTCCAGGTCCACGTCCACGTCCAAGTCCACGTCCACGTCCAGGTCCAAGTCTACGTCCACGTCCAGGTCCAAGTCCAGGTCGAGGAACACGTCCACGTCCAGGTCCATGTCCAGGTCCACGTCCACGACCACGTCCACGTCTACCTCCACGACCACGTCCACGTCCACGACCACGTCCACGTCCACGTCCGCGACCACGTCCACGTCAACGTCCACGACCACGTCCATGTCCACGAACATGACCATGTCCACTTCCACGTCCATGACCACGTCCATGTCCACGTCCACGACCACGACCACGTCCACGACCACGTCCACGTCCACGTCCACGACCACGACCACGTCCACGTCCACGTCCACGACCACGTCCGCGTCCACGTACAGGTCCACGACCACGTCCACGTCCACGTTGAGGTCCACGTCCACGTCCACGTTCAAGTCCAGGTCCAGTTCCACGTCCACGTCCACGTCCAAGTCCATGTCCACATCAACGTCCACGATCACGTCCACGTCCACGACCACGTCCACGTCCACGACCACGTCCACGTCCATGACCACGTCCACGTCCACGACCACGTCAACGTCCACGTCCACGTCCATGGCCACGTCCACGTCGACGACCACGTCCACGTCCACGTCCACTTCCACGTCCACGACCACGCCCACGTCTAGGTCCACGTCCATGTCCAGGTCCACGTCCACGTCCACGTCCACGTCCACTTCCAAGTCCACGACCACGTCCACGTCCACGACCACGTCCACGACCACGTCCACGTCCACGTCCGCGTCCACAACCACGTCCGCATCGACGACCACGTCCACGTCCAAGTCCACGTCCAAGTTCACGTCCACGTCCAGATCCAAGTCCACGTCCACGTCCATGACCACGTCCATGTCCACAACCACGTCCACGTCCACGTCCACGTCCACGTCCACAACCACGACCACGTCCACGTCCACGACCACGTCCATGTCCACGTCCAAGTCCAGGTCCACGTCCACATCCACGTCCACGTCCACGTCCACGTCCACGTCCATGACCACGTCCACGTCCACGACCACGTCCACGTACACGACCACGTCCACGACCACGTCCACGACCACGTCCACGTCCACGTCCAAGTCCACGTCCATGTCCACGTCCACGACCACGTCCACGTCCACGTCCACGACCACGTCCACGTCCACGTTCTCGTCCACGAACACGTCCACGACCACGTCCACGACCACGTCCACGTCCACGACCACGTCCACGTCCACGTCTACGTCCACTTCAACGACCACGTCCACTTCCACGTCCACGTCCACGTCCACGACAACGTCTATGTCCACGTCCACGTCCACGTAGACGTCCACGTCCACGTCCATGACCACGTCCACGTCCACGTCCATATCCACGTCCACATCCAAGTCCACGTCCACGTCCACGTCCACGTCCACCTCCACGTCCACGTCCACGTCCACGTCCACATCCACGTCCACGTCCAAGTCCACGTCCACGTCCAGGTCCAGGTCCAGGTCCACGTCCACATCCAAGTCCACGTCCACGTCCAGGTCCAAGTCCAGGTCGAGGTCCATGTCCACGTGCACGTCCAGGTCCATGTCCAGGTCCATGTCCACGACCACGTCCACGTCCACCTCCACGACCAAATCCACGTCCACGTCCATTTCCACAACCACGTCCACGTCCACGTCCACGTCCACGACCACGACCACGTCCACGTCAACGTCCACGACCACGTCCATGTCCACGAACACGACCACGTCCACGTCCACGACCACGTCCACGTCCATGTCTACGTCCACGTCCACGACCACGTCCATGTCCACGTCCACGACCACGACCACGTCCACGACCACGTCCACGTCCACGTCCACGACCACTTCCACGACCACGTCCACGTCCATGTCCACGTCCACGACCACGTCCACGTCCACGTCCAGGTCCACGACCACGTCCACGTCCACGTTCAGGTCCACGTCCACGTCCACGTCCAAGTCCAGGTCCAGGTCCACGTCCACGTCCACGTCCAGGTCCATGTCCACGTCAACGTCCACGACCACGTCCACGTCCACGACCACATCTACGTCCACGTCCACGACCACGTCCACGTCCACGTCCACGACCACGTCCAAGACCACGTCCACGTCCAAGTCCACGTCCACGTCCATGTCCAGGTCCACGTCCACGTCAACGTCCACGACCACGTCCACGTCCACGACCACGTCCACGTCCACGTCCATGTCCACGACCACGTCCACGACCACGTCCATGTCCACGACCACGTCCACGTCCATGTCCACGTCCACGACCACGTCCACGACCACGTCCACTCCACGTCCACGTCCACGTCCACGACCACGTCCACGACCACGTCCACGTCCACGTCCACGACCACGTCCACGTCCACGTCCACGTCCAAGTCCACGTCCACGTCCACGTCCACGTCCACGTCCAGGTTCACGACCACGTCCACGTCCACGTCCACGTCCTGGTCCACGTCCACGTCCATGTCCACGACCACGTCCACGTCCATATCCACGTCCACGTCCACGACCACGTCCACGTCCACGACCACGTCCAAGTCCACGACCACGTCCACGTCCACGTCCACGTCCACGTCCACGACAACGTCCACGACCACGTCCACTCCACGTCCACGTCCACGTCCACGACCACGTCCACGACCACGTCCACGTCTACGTCCACGTCCAAGTCCACGTCCACGTCCACGTCCACCTCCACGTCCAGGTTCACGACCACGTCCACGTCCACGTCCACGTCCTGGTCCACATCCACGTCCACATCCACGTCCACGAACACGTCCACGTCCACGTCCACGACCACGTCCACGACCACGTCCACGTCCACGTCCACGACCATGTCCAGGTCCATGTCCACGTCCACATCCACGTCCACGATCACGTCCACGTCCACGACTACGTCCGCGTCTACAACCATGCCACGTCCACGTCCACGTCCACGTCCACGACCACGTCCACGTCCACGTCTACGTCCAAGTCCACGTCCACGTCCATGTCCAGATCCACGTCCACGTCCACGTCCACGTCCACGTCCACGACCACGTCCACGTCGACGACCACGTCCACGTCCACGTCCACTTCCGCGTCCACGACCACGTCCACGTCCAGGTCCACGTCCATGTCCAGGTTCACGTCCACGTCCACGACCACCTCCACGTCCACGTCCACGTCCAAGTTTACGACCACGTCCACGTCCACGACCACGTCCACGTCCATGTCCACGTCCACGACCACGTCCACGTCGACGACCACGTCCACGTCCACGTCCACTTCCACGTCCACGACCACGTCCACGTCCAGGTCCACATCCAGGTCCAGGTCCACGTCCACGTCCACGACCACGTCCACGTCCACGTCCACTTCCAAGTCCACGACCACGTCCAAGACCACATCCACAACCACGTCCACGCCCACGTCCACGTCCGCGTCCACAACCACGTCCGCGTCGACGATCATGTCCACGTCCACGTCCAAGTTCACGTCCACGTCCAGGTCCAAGTCCACGTCCACGTCCACGACCACGTCCATGTCCACGACCACGTCCACGTCCACGTCCACGTCCACGTCCACGACCACGACCACGTCCACGTCCACGACCATGTCCACGTCCAAGTCCAGGTCCACGTCCACATCCACGTCCACGTCCACGTCCACGACCACGTCCACGACCACGTCCACGTCCACGTCCACGTCCACGTCCACAACCACGTCAACGTCCACGTCCAAGTCCACGTCCACGTCCACGACCACGTCCACGTACACGACCATGTCCAAGACCACGTCCACGACCACGTCCACGTCCACGTCCACGTCCACATCCAAGTCCACGTCCATGTCGACGTCCACGACCACGTCCACGTCCACGTCCACGTCCACGTCCACGACCACGTCCACGTCTACGTCCACGAACACGTCCACGACCACGTCCACGACCACGTCCACGACCACGTCCACGTCTACGTCCACGTCCACGACCACGTCCACTTCCACGTCCACGTCCACGTCCACGTCGACGACAACGTCTATGTCCACGTCCACATCCACGTAGACGTCCACGTCCACGTTCATGACCACGTCCACGTCCACGTCCACATCCACGTCCACATCCAAGTCCACGTCCACGTCCACCTCCACGTCCACGTCCACGTCCACATCCACATCCACGTCCACGTCCACGTCCAAGTCCACGTCCACGTCCAGGTCCAGGTCCAGGTCCACGTCCACATCCAAGTCCACGTCCACGTCCAGGTCCAAGTCCAGGTCGAGGTCCACGTCCACGTCCACGTCCACGTCCAGGTCCATGTCCAGGTCCACGTCCACGACCACGTCCACGTCCACCTCCACGACCACGTCCACGACCACGTCCACGTCCACGTCCACGACCACGTCCACGTCAACGTCCACGACCATGTCCATGTCCACGAACACGACCACGTCCACGTCCACGACCACGTCCACGTCCACGTCTACGTCCACGTCCATGACCACGTCCCTGTCCACGTCCACGACCACGACCACGTCCACGACCACGTCCACGTCCATGTCCACGTCCACGTTCACGACCACGTCCACGACCACGTCCATGTCCACGTCCACGTCCACGACCACGTCCACGTCCACGTCCACGTCCAAGTCCACGTCCACGTCCACATTCGCGTCCGCGTCCACGTCCACGTCTACGTCCACGTCCAGGTCCACGACCACGTCCACGTCCACGACCACGACCACGTCCACGACCACGTCCAGGTCCACGACCACGTCCACGTCCACGACCACGTCCACGTCCACGACCACGTCCACGTCCACGTCCACGTCCACGTCCAGGTCCACGTCCACGTCCACGTCCACGACCAAGTCCACGTCCACGTCCACGTCCACGTCCACGTCCACAACCATGTCCACGTCCACAACCACGTCCACGTCTACGACCACGTCCACGTCCACGACCACGTCCAGGTCTACGTCCATGTCCACGTCCACTTCCAGGTCTACGACCACGTCCACGTCCAGGTCCACGACCATGTCCACGTCCACGACCACGTCCACGTCCTCGTCCACGTCCACTTCCAGGTCCACGTCCACTTCCAGGTCCACGACCATGTCTGTTATAGCCAAGAGTCCACTTAGAGGTCGCGGATGCCCATGAAACCGCCCAAGCAGAATCTGACGTCTTCAAACCGCCTCTGTTCAAAACGCCGTCACGATCAGCTCCAAAATCATACGAAGCTGATACTTGGACAGCTGTTAGCCTTAGGTGTCTGCTCTCCAACGGTATATTACTTGCTATTATCAGAAGTGTGTGCACTACGCAGTGAACGAAAACGTAAGCTCGGCTGAAAAACGTGTAGTTTCATTGATGCAAGGAAGAGGTGAGTACAACATTGCCTAGGGGACTCATAAGGAGTTGGGTCATCCTGGGAACTCAGAGAAGGTTGAGTCCTAGGGGAGAAAGGCTTGAGAAGAATGGGAAACCTCCTAGCTAGGTCAGCAAAGCCAACCACACTTGGATGTTCAGAGCTGTACTCAAGGCTACCAATAGTGAGTCAAGCCAACATGAGTCAACTTGTCTTCCCACTTGCACCCTCTTGCAAGCTGCTTCTAGGAAGACCACACTTCTCAAAAGGAGGGTTGTAGAGTCCCACTTGACCAACTGTACTTCTTGTCTCATTCTTTGTCCCTGCACCATTGGCATGAAAACAATGAAATGGTGGCAAGGGAAATGCTGCCAACAGTGCACCATAACCAAGGAACAGTGAATGTTGGCAGCTGTCACGCAATGCGCAGATGTTGGATCGTTCTGAAACTTGGTGACCATCTGCACAGCGCAGCAAAGGACTGCCAGACCGAATTTCAGACCAATCAAATCTCGGAAGACGAGTCAGCAGCCGAAATGGTGAACTCGGGTGTTACCAAAAAGGAGTAACACACGCTTCCGGGATGCCATAAGTCTTGAAACATAAAATGTTGTCATGCCTTGGTAACTACTTCAAAAACTCTGAAACTTTGAGGGTTTGAAGAACACATGTTGAACAACCTCCCCACAGAATTCCAGAAGCTGAGCAGGCTTGTAGGTCGAATGGGAGTGCGATGACCGTGCCACTATAATGTGTTGGCACAACAAACTCCCCCTCATCGTGCTCTCATTCATCCCTTAGCTGCTCCCTGAAGCTGCCTCCCTTAGTTGAAGGACATGCCACACAAGATGGCACAGGTCCAATTCTGATGCTCTGCAAGCCGCTTGGTCAAGAAATCTGCAGGTTGCTTGGTAGTGTTGATGTAGTGCAAGGAGACCGTGCTCTTCTTCACCTCCTTCCTCACCCAATGCCATTTGATATGCATGTGCTTGTTCAGCCCATGGAGCACAGCATTGCGAGCCATTGCTATTGCTCCTTGGCTGTCACAAAACACAGGTGTAGGACTCTCTTGCTCCTGCCCCAACTCCTCAAGCTACCTCCTCATCCAAACCACCTCCTTCACCCCATGAAACAACGCCATGTACTCGCTCTCCGTTGATGAGTGAGCTATCTCCCCTTGCTTCTTAGACTTCCAGCTCACTGGACTCCCTCCAACACAGCATACATAGCCACCATGGGATGTTGCATCACTGAATCCACTTGCCCATGTAGCGTCGGTGAAGCACGAGAGGTACAAGTGTCCACGCCTTGCAGGTGCACCGGTCTTCGTGCTCACCTCCTCCACTCCCTTTTGCTTCAGCTGCCCATGCACTGAATATTGCAGCCCCACCCTTGAGGTTGCCATGCAGTACCTCACCAGCCTCTCTGCTGCATCGAGGTGCTCTTGAAGGGGCCTAGACACCACACACGCTAGCTGCGAAACCGCAAATGAAATATCGGGGCGAGTGTTGACCGAAGCATACATCAAGCTCCCCACCATTGACTGGAACCGACGCTGCGACTCGGGCTCCAACACCTCACCCTCCTCTTCATCAAGGTGTAGCTGAAACCCTGAGGGTAGAGGAGTCTTCACACTCCTCCCTTCCTCCAGCCCATACCTCTCCCCCAGACAATGTTCTTGCCAGACACCCCGAAGCGTTGCAATGCTCTTGCCGGACACCACAGAGCGTTGCAATGCACTTGCAGGACACCGCGGAGCATTGCAATGCTCTTGGTGGACACCGTGGAGCGTTGCAATGGTCTTGCCAGACACCCTGTAGCATTGCAATGCTCTTGCCGGACACCTCGGAGCGTTGCATTGCACTTGCCAGACACCTTGGAGTGTTGCAATGCTCTTGGCAAACACCCTGGATCGTTGCAATGCTCTTGCCGGACACCCTGGAGCATTGCAGTGCTCTTGCCAGACACCCCAGAGCGTGGCAGTGCACTTGCCAGACACCTCGGAGCGTTGCAATGCTTTTGCCGGACACCCTGAAGCGTTGCAATGCTCTTGCCGGACACCCCAGAGCGTTGCACTGCAGTTGCCGGACACCCTGGAGCGTTGCAATGCTCTTGCCGGACACCATGGAGCATTGCAATGCTCTTGCCAGACACCTTGGAGCGTTGCAATGCTCTTGCTGGACACCCTGGAGCATTGCAATGCTCTTCCCGGACACACTGGAGCGTTGCAATGCTCTTGCCGAACACCCTGGAGGGTTGCAATGCTCTTGCCGGACACCCCGGAGCGTTGCAATGCTCTTGTCGAACACCCTGGAGCATTGCAAGGCTCTTGCCAGACACCCTGGAGCGCTGCAATGCTCTTGCCGACCACCCGAGAACGTTGCAATGCTCTTGCCGACCACCCGAGAGCGTTGCAATGCTCTTGCCGGACACCCTGGAGCGTTTCAATGTTATTGCCGGACACCGTGGAATGTTGCAAGGCTCTTGCTGGACACCCCGAAGTGTTGCAATGCTCTTGCCGGACACCCCGGAGCGTTGCAATGCTCTTGCTGGACACCCTAGAGCGTTGCAATAGTCTTGCGAGGACCTGCTGTATGACGACGCCGAAGAAGATGAGGAGTTTCCGGAGCTCGACCCCGACATGCATGCTGACCCCGAGCACCATTGGGATACCTCGACGATGACGGTGAAGGAGGCGTTGGCGAGCTGGAAGGGCCCGGCGGTGAAGGCCGCCATGGAGGAGGAGATCCGAAGCCTAATCAACATGGGGACTTGGGAGCTGGTCGAACGCCCGCCGGGAGTCAACATCATGAAGAGCCGGTGGGTGTTGACGACGAAGTACCACGTGGACGACACCGTCAAGCGTGAGAAGGCAAGGCTGGTCGTGAAGGGCTTCACTCAGGTGTATGGCGCCGACTACGACGAGACGTTCGCGCCGGTGGGCAGCTACGTCACGCTGAGGATCTTCCTCAGCATTGTCGCCATCCTCAACCTCAACCTGATGCAGCTCGACATGAAGAACGCCTTCCTGCAGAGCAAGCTCGACCGGGTGCTCTACATGGCCCAGCTGGACTACTTAAACGACGGAACCGGCCGGGTCTGCAAGCTGCTGAAGAGCCTGTACGGGCTGAAGCAGTCGCCGCTGTTGTGGTACTTGGCGCTCAACGACGTGCTGGTCGGGGCCAGGTGGAAGAAGAGCCAGGTCGACGAGGCTCTTTACTTCAAGGTCGGAGAGGACGGAGTGGCCTGCTGGGTGCTGGTCTACGTCGACGACCTGCTCGCTGCCAGCCGCAGCACCGAGATGCTGAAGGAGTTGAAGGCGCTGCTGGAGTCCGCCTTCGAGCTGCGTGAGATCTCGCCGGTGCAGAAGTACCTAGGGCTGGAGATCGTCCGCAACAGGTCGGCGGGGAAGCTGTGGCTGCACCAGCAGGGCTATGCCGACAAGCTGCGTAGGCGCTTCATCGACGAAGAGCAGACCGGGCGGACGCCGAAGACGCCGGTCTCGGTCGGCGCCTACGCCGAGCTCACCTTTGACGACGAGGAGGCGCAGGAGCGACAGGAGGAGGAGTACCGGCAGAAGGTCGGCTCGCTGCAGTTCGCGGCGACGACGACGAGGCCGGACGTCGCCTTCGCCTGCAGCAAGCTGGGGAGTGGCCTCACAGATAGGAGCGACCAGCACTGGCGCGAGGTCGACCGCTGCCTCGCCTACCTCGCCAACACGCGTGACACCGCCCTGGAGTTCGGCGGTGGACCTGAGTCGCTGGAGCTGGTCGGCTACGTGGACGCCGACGACGCCGGTGACAAGCAGAATAGAACGAGCACGGGCGGCTACGTGTTCGTCTACGGAGGGACCGCAGTCTCCTGGTCGAGCCAACGCATCAAGTGCGCGACGCTGTCGTCGACCGAGTCGCAGTACGTGGCGGCCACGGAAGCCGGGAAGGAAGGACGTCGACTTCGCTTCCTCCTCGCAGAGTTCCAGCAGCAGGATGCTGGGAAGCCGACCGTCCTTCGGGTGGACAACAAGTCGGCCATCACGGTCGCCGAGGGCATGGGGTTGACGGGCAACCTCAAGCACATGGAGCGGCGACAGGCCTGGCTGCAGCATATGGTGAAGCGCGGGAAGTTCTCGCTGCAGTACATCCCGACCGCTGAGCAGCCGGCCGACTTCTTGACGAAGGCACTGCACTTTCCGGCCTTCAACTGGTGCTCCATCGCCATCGGCCAGGTGCGCTTGGCCGACGTGGGCGACGGCGACGACGACGTACAGCAGTAGGTGCCATGCCCTCTTGCATGGCTGGTGCGGTGGACGACATGCTGTGTGTTGGGTGCACGTCGATGAGCGAGTCTCCGAGGTATTCTGTCGTGTGGGCTGGGTGCCCAAGCGTGAACGCGGCAGGGGAGTGTCAACGGGAGTTGGGTATTGGCCCCGTCCTCGCTTGGGTGGAGCCGACTTCGTAGTCGGGTGCGAGGGGAGCAGCTGACTTGCAGCAGTCGACGAGCTGGTCGACGAGGAGGTCGACCTGCACGGGGGTCACTGCACGGGCGCCAACTTTGGGATGGCGCCGACTTCAGGGGAGGTCGACTTGGGAGTCGACCTGCAGAAGAGATGGTCGACGAAGGAGGGGCCGACGTCGACCTCGACCCAGGACGCCGAGCTGTTGGGCGTCGAAGTGGCGGGGCGTCAACTTCTTGACGCCGACTTCGGGTGGCCGACTTGGGTGGTCGGCCGACAACTGTGCTGGTCGACGAGAAGCAGGTCGGCCAGGAGTGACGTCGACTTGGGGGAAGTCGACCGAGGGTGTCGTCGGCCTGGTGAGGTCGACGTGGAGGTGGTCGTCGACTTGGGAGGTCGACGGGCACGTACGGGAGCGGCTGGTCGACGTGGTAGCCCGGTCGACCAGGTTACCTGGGTGACGAAGTGCTGCGGAGGAGTGCGACGATCGCCCAGGCGGAGTTGGCGAGCCCGACCTCGATGATGGTATCCCGAGGTCGTCGTGGCGGATCAGAAGCAGTCGTCAGCGGGAAGTTGACGTGGTGTGTGCGCTGTGCAGGTGACGAGGCTCTGCACGCCAATCATCTGCGCTCACCTGCAAAGCGGATGCACTGCTGTTCTGCGTGAGCAGCGCTGGCACGCCGTCAACCTGCGACGTTGGCACGCCGTCAACCTTGCCTTGTTGGAGCGCGGTCGACGTAGTCGTGCTGGAACGCGGTCGACCAAGCTGCGCTGGCAGTTGGCCGACTTGGATGTTTGCTCTGATGTAGTCTAGCATTGCCAACTTCATTGTACCATTGTTCTGAACTTTCTCTAGTGAAACTCTTGCCAAATTGCCTTGTGACCTAGCAAGCAGTGTGTGCACTAGGAAACGACTAAGGAACAGAGAACGCAGAGATCACACGAGCATCCGTGCCTAGCCCGTAGACTAGCTCCCGTTGAAGTAGTTATCTCCGCATCCCCTTCTTTCAGATTCCATCCCCTTCTCCCAGATTCCATCCGCTTCTCCCATATTCCATCCCCTTCTCCCTGATTCCATCCCCTTCTCCCAGATTCCATCCCCTTCTCCCAGATTCCATCCCCTTCTCCCAGATTTCATCCCCTTCTCCCATTCCATCCCCTTCTCCAAGATTCCATCCCCTTCTCCCTCGTTCCATCCCCTTCTCCCAGATTCCATCCCCTACTCCCAGATTCCATCCCCTTCTCCAAGATTCCATCCCCTTCTCCCCGATTCCAGCCCCTTCTCCCAGATTCCATCCCCTTCTCCCAAATTCCATCCCCTTCTCCCAAATTCCATCCCTTTCTCCCAGATTCCATCCCCTTCTCCTCGATTCCATCCCCTTCTCCCTCGTTCCATCCCCTTCTCCCCGATTCCATCCCCTTCTCCCAGATTCCATCCCCTTCTCCCCGATTCCACCCCCTTTTCCGAGATTCCATCCCCTTCTCCTAGATTCTATCACCTTCTCCCAGATTCCATCCCCTTCTCCCAGATTCCATCCCCTTCTCCCCGATTCCATCCCCTTCTCCCAAATTCCATCCCCTTCTCCCAGATTCCATCCCCTTCTCCCAGATTTCATCCCCTTCTCCCAGATTCCATCCCCTTCTCCCAGATTCCATCCCCTTCTCCCTCGTTCCATCCCCTTCTCTCAGATTCCATGCCCTACTCCCAGATTCCATCCCCTTCTCCAAGATTCCATCCCCTTCTCCCCGATTCCAGCCCCTTCTCCCAGATTCCATCCCCTTCTCCCAAATTCCATCCCTTTCTCCCAGATTCCATCCCCTTCTCCTCGATTCCATCCCCTTCTCCCTCGTTCCATCCCCTTCTCCCCGATTCCATCCCCTTCTCCCAGATTCCATCCCCTTCTCCCCGATTCCACCCCCTTTTCCGAGATTCCATCCCCTTCTCCTAGATTCTATCACCTTCTCCCAGATTCCATCCCCTTCTCCCAGATTCCATCCCCTTCTCCCCGATTCCATCCCCTTCTCCCAAATTCCATCCCCTTCTCCCAGATTCCATCCCCTTCTCCCAGATTCCATCCCCTTCTCCCAGATTCCATCCCCTTCTCCCATATTCCATCCCCTTCTCTCAGATTCCATCCCCTTCTCCCAGATTCCATCCCCTCCTCCCAGATTCCATCCCCTTCTCCCAGATTCCATCCCCTTCTCCCTCATTCCATCCCCTTCTCCCACATTCCATCCCCTTCTCCCAGATTCCATCCTTCTCCCAGATTCCATCCCCTTCTCCCATATTCTATCCCCTTCTCCCAGATTCATCCCCTTCTCCATCATTCCATCCCCTTCTCCCAGATTCTGTCCCGTTCTCCCAGATTCCATCCCCTTCTCCCAGATTCCATCCCCTTCTTCCAGATTCCATCCTCTTCTCCCTCATTCCATATCGTTCTCCCATATTCCATCCCCTTCTTCCAGATTCCATCCCCTTCTCCCATATTCCATCCCCTTCTCCCCGATTCCATACCCTTCTCCCAGATTACATTTCCTTCTCCTAGATTCCATCCCCTTCTCCCAGATTCCATCCCCTTCTCCCATATTCCATCCCCTTCTCCCAGATTCCATCCCCTTCTGCCAGATTCCATCCCCTTCTCCCAGATTCCATCCCCTTCTCCCAGATTCCATCCCCTTCTCCCAGATTCCATCCCCTTCTCCCAGATTCCATTCCCTCTACCCAGATTCCATCCCCTTCTCCCAGATTCCATCCCCTTCTCCCTCATTCTATCCCCTTCTCCCAGATTCCATCCCCTTCTCCCAGATTCCATCCCCTTCTCCCAGATTCCATCCCCTTCTTCTAGATGCCATCCCCTTCTCCCAGATTCCATCCCCTTCTCCCAGATTCCATCCCCTTCTCCCAGATTCCATCCCCTTCTCCCATATTCCATCCCTTTCTCCCAGATTCCATCCCCTTCTCCCAGATTCCATCCCCTTCTCCCAGATTCCATCCCCTTCTCCCAGATTCCATCTCCTTCTCCCAGATTCCACCCCCTTCTCCCAGATTCCATCCCTCTCTCCCAAATTCCACCCCCTTCTCCCAGATTCCATCCCCTTCTCCCAGATTCCATCCCCTTCTCCCTGATTCCATCCCCTTCTCCTAGATTCGATCCCCTTCTCCCAGATTCCATCCCCTTCTCCCAGAGTCCACCCCCTTCTCCCAGATTTCATCCCCTTCTCCCAGATTCCACCCCCTTCTCCCAGATTCCATCCCCTTCTCCCAGATTCCATCCCCTTCTCTCAGATTCCATCCCCTTCTCCCATATTCCATCCCCTTCTCCCAGATTCCATCCCCTTCTGCCAGATTCCATCCCCTTCTCCCAGATTCCATCCCCTTCTCCCAGATTCCATCCCCTTCTCCCAGATTCCATCCCCTTCTCCCAAATTCCATCCCCTCCTCCCAGATTCCATCCCCTTCTCCCAGATTCCATCCCCTTCTCCCTCATTCTATCCCCTTCTCCCAGATTCCATCCCCTTCTCCCAGATTCCATCCCCTTCTCCCAGATTCCATCCCCTTCTCCCAGATTCCATCCCCTTCTCCCAGATTCCATCCCCTTCTCCCAGATTCCATCCCCTTCTCCCTGATTCCATCCCCTTCTCCCAGATTCCATCCCTTCTCCCAGATTCCATCCCCTTCTCCCAGATTCCATCCCCTTCTCCCAGATTCCATCCCCTTCTCCTAGATTTGCATCCCCTTCTCCCAGATTTCATCTCCTTCTCCCAGATTCCACCCCCTTCTCCCACATTCCATCCCCTTCTCCCAGATTCCATCCCTTCTCCCAGATTCCATCCCCTTCTCCCAGATTCCATCCCCTTCTCCCAGATTCCATCCCCTTCTCCTAGATTCCATCCCCTTCTCCTAGATTCCATCCCCTTCTCCCAGATCCCATCCCCTTCTCCTAGATTCCATCCCCTTCTCCCTGATTCCATCCCCTTCTCCCATATTCCATCCCCTTCTCCCATATTCCATCCCCTTCTCCGAGATTCCATCCCCTTGTCCTCGATTCCATCCCCTTCTCCCTCGTTCCGTCCCCTTCTCCCCGATTCCACCCCCTTCTCCCAGACTCCATCCCCTTCTCCCCGATTCCACCCCCTTCTCCCAGATTCCATCCCCTTCTCCTATATTCTATCACCTTCTCCCAGATTCCATCCCCTTCTCCCAGATTCCATCCCCTTCTCCCAGATTCCATCCCCTTCTCCCTGATTCCATCCCCTTCTCCCAGATTCCATCCCTTCTCCCAGATTCCATCCCCTTCTCCCAGATTCCATCCCCTTCTCCCAGATTCCATCCCCTTCTCCTAGATTCCATCCCCTTCTCCCAGATTTCATCCCCTTCTCCCAGATTCCACCCCCTTCTCCCACATTCCATCCCCTTCTCCCAGATCCCATCCCCTTCTCCTAGATTCCATCCCCTTCTCCCAGATTCCATCCCCTTCTCCCACATTCCATCCCCTTCTCCTAGATTCCATCCCCTTCTCCCAAATTCCATCCCCTTCTCCCAGATTCCATCCCCTTCTCCCATATTCCATCCCCTTCTCCCAGATTCCATCCCCTTCTCCTCGATTCCATCCCCTTCTCCCTCGTTCCATCCCCTTCTCCTAGATTCCATCCCCTTCTCCAAGATTCCATCCCCTTCTCCCATATTCTATCCCCTTCTCCCAGATTCCATCCCCTTCTCCAAGATTCCATCCCCTTCTCCCAAATTCCATCCCCTTCTCCCAGATTCCATCCCCTTCTCTCAGAATCCATCCCCTTCTCCCAAATTCCATCCCCTTCTCCTCGATTCCATCCCCTTCTCCCAAATTCCATCCCCTTCTCCCAGATTCCATCCCCTTCTCCCAGATTCCATCCCCTTCTCCCAGATTCCATCCCCTTCTCCCAGATTCCATCCCCTTCTCCCTCATTCCATCCCCTTCTCCCAGATTCCATCCCCTTCTCCCTGATTCCATCCTTCTCCTAGATTCCATCCCCTTCTCCCAGATTCTATCCCCTTCTCCTAGATTCTATCCCCTTCTCCAAGATTCCATCCCCTTCTCCCAGATTCCATCCCCTTCTCCCAGATTCCATCCCCTTCTCTCAGAATCCATCCCCTTCTCCCAAATTCCATCCCCTTCTCCTCGATTCCATCCCCTTCTCCCAAATTCCATCCCCTTCTCCCAGATTCCATCCCCTTCTCCCAGATTCCATCCCCTTCTCCCAGATTCCATCCCCTTCTCCCTGATTCCACCCCCTTCTCCCAGATTCCATCCCCTTCTCCCAGATTCCATCCCCTTCTCCCAGATTCCATCCCCTTCTCCCATATTCCATCCCCTTCTCCCAGATTCCATCCCCTTCTGCCTGATTCCATCCCCTTCTCCCAGATTCCATCCCCTTCTCCCAGATTCCATCCCCTTCTCCCAGATTCCATCCCCTTCTCCCAGATTCCATCCCCTCCTCCCAGATTCCATCCCCTTCTCCCAGATTCCATCCCCTTCTCCCTCATTCTATCCCCTTCTCCCAGATTCCATCCCCTTCTCCCAGATTCCATCCCCTTCTCCCAGATTCCATCCCCTTCTCCCAGATTCCATCCCCTTCTCCCAGATTCCATCCCCTTCTCCCAGATTCCATCCCCTTCTCCCAGATTCCATCCCCTTCTCCCATATTCCATCCCCTTCTCCCAGATTCCATCCCCTTCTGCCAGATTCCATCCCCTTCTCCCAGATTCCATCCCCTTCTCCCAGATTCCATCCCCTTCTCCCAGATTCCATCCCCTTCTCCCAGATTCCATCCCCTCCTCCCAGATTCCATCCCCTTCTCCCAGATTCCATCCCCTTCTCCCTCATTCTATCCCCTTCTCCCAGATTCCATCCCCTTCTCCCAGATTCCATCCCCTTCTCCCAGATTCCATCCCCTTCTCCCAGATTCCATCCCCTTCTCCCAGATTCCATCCCCTTCTCCCAGATTCCATCCCCTTCTCCCTGATTCCATCCCCTTCTCCCAGATTCCATCCCTTCTCCCAGATTCCATCCCCTTCTCCCAGATTCCATCCCCTTCTCCCAGATTCCATCCCCTTCTCCTAGATTCCATCCCCTTCTCCCAGATTTCATCCCCTTCTCCCAGATTCCACCCCCTTCTCCCACATTCCATCCCCTTCTCCCAGATCCCATCCCCTTCTCCTAGATTCCATCCCCTTCTCCCATATTCCATCCCCTTCTCCTATATTCCATCCCCTTCTCCCATATTCCATCCCCTTCTCCGAGATTCCATCCCCTTGTCCTCGATTCCATCCCCTTCTCCCTCGTTCCGTCCCCTTCTCCCCGATTCCACCCCCTTCTCCCAGACTCCATCCCCTTCTCCCCGATTCCACCCCCTTCTCCCAGATTCCATCCCCTTCTCCTATATTCTATCACCTTCTCCCAGATTCCATCCCCTTCTCCCAGATTCCATCCCCTTCTCCCAGATTCCATCCCCTTCTCCCTGATTCCATCCCCTTCTCCCAGATTCCATCCCTTCTCCCAGATTCCATCCCCTTCTCCCAGATTCCATCCCCTTCTCCCTGATTCCATCCCCTTCTCCTAGATTCCATCCCCTTCTCCCAGATTTCATCCCCTTCTCCCAGATTCCACCCCCTTCTCCCACATTCCATCCCCTTCTCCCAGATCCCATCCCCTTCTCCTAGATTCCATCCCCTTCTCCCAGATTCCATCCCCTTCTCCCACATTCCATCCCCTTCTCCTAGATTCCATCCCCTTCTCCCAAATTCCATCCCCTTCTCCCAGATTCCATCCCCTTCTCCCATATTCCATCCCCTTCTCCCAGATTCCATCCCCTTCTCCTCGATTCCATCCCCTTCTCCCTCGTTCCATCCCCTTCTCCTAGATTCCATCCCCTTCTCCTAGATTCCATCCCCTTCTCCCATATTCTATCCCCTTCTCCCAGATTCCATCCCCTTCTCCAAGATTCCATCCCCTTCTCCCAAATTCCATCCCCTTCTCCCAGATTCCATCCCCTTCTCTCAGAATCCATCCCCTTCTCCCAAATTCCATCCCCTTCTCCTCGATTCCATCCCCTTCTCCCAAATTCCATCCCCTTCTCCCAGATTCCATCCCCTTCTCCCAGATTCCATCCCCTTCTCCCAGATTCCATCCCCTTCTCCCAGATTCCATCCCCTTCTCCCTCATTCCATCCCCTTCTCCCAGATTCCATCCCCTTCTCCCTGATTCCATCCTTCTCCTAGATTCCATCCCCTTCTCCCAGATTCTATCCCCTTCTCCTAGATTCTATCCCCTTCTCCAAGATTCCATCCCCTTCTCCCAGATTCCATCCCCTTCTCCCAGATTCCATCCCCTTCTCTCAGAATCCATCCCCTTCTCCCAAATTCCATCCCCTTCTCCTCGATTCCATCCCCTTCTCCCAAATTCCATCCCCTTCTCCCAGATTCCATCCCCTTCTCCCAGATTCCATCCCCTTCTCCCAGATTCCATCCCCTTCTCCCTGATTCCACCCCCTTCTCCCAGATTCCATCCCCTTCTCCCAGATTCCATCCCCTTCTCCCAGATTCCATCCCCTTCTCCCATATTCCATCCCCTTCTCCCAGATTCCATCCCCTTCTGCCTGATTCCATCCCCTTCTCCCAGATTCCATCCCCTTCTCCCAGATTCAATCCCCTTCTCCCAGATTCCATCCCCTTCTCCCAGATTCCATCCCCTCCTCCCAGATTCCATCCCCTTCTCCCAGATTCCATCCCCTTCTCCCTCATTCTATCCCCTTCTCCCAGATTCCATCCCCTTCTCCCAGATTCCATCCCCTTCTCCCAGATTCCATCCCCTTCTCCCAGATTCCATCCCCTTCTCCCAGATTCCATCCCCTTCTCCCAGATTCCATCCCCTTCTCCCTGATTCCATCCCCTTCTCCCAGATTCCATCCCTTCTCCCAGATTCTATCCCCTTCTCCCAGATTACATCCCCTTCTCCCAGATTCCATCCCGTTCTCCCAGATTCCATCCCCTTCTCCCTCGTTCCATCCCCTTCTCCCAGATTCCATCCCCTACTCCCAGATTCCATCCCCTTCTCCCAGATTCCATCCCCTTCTCCCCGATTCCAGTCCCTTCCCCCAAATTCCATCCCCTTCTCCAAAATTCCATCCCCTTCTCCCAGATTCCATCCCCTTCTCCCAGATTCCATCCCCTTCTCCCAGATTCCATCCCCTTCTCCCAGATTCCATCCCCTTCTCCCAGATTCCATCCCCTTCTCCCTGATTCCATCCCCTTCTCCCAGATTCCATCCCTTCTCCTAGATTCTATCACCTTCTCCCTGATTCCATCCCCTTCTCCCAGATTCCATCCCCTTCTCCCCGATTCCATCCCCTTCTCCCAAATTCCATCCCCTTCTCCCATATTCCATCCCCTTCTCCCAGATTCCATCCCTTTCTCCCAGATTCCATCCCCTTCTCCCATATTCCATCCCCTTCTCTCAGATTCTATCCCCTTCTCCCATATTCCATCCCCTTCTCCCAGATTCCATCCCCTTCTCCCTCATTCCATCCCCTTCTCCCAGATTCCATCCCCTTCTCCCAGATTCCATCCCCTTCTCCCAGATTCCATCCCCTCCTCCCAGATTCCATCCCCTTCTCCCAGATTCCATCCCCTTCTCCCTCATTCTATCCCCTTCTCCCAGATTCCATCCCCTTCTCCCAGATTCCATCCCCTTCTCCCAGATTCCATCCCCTTCTCCCAGATTCCATCCCCTTCTCCTCGATTCCATCCCCTTCTCCCAGATTCCATCCCCTTTTCCCAGATTCCATCCCCTTCTCCCAGATTCCATCCCCTTCTCCCAAATTCCATCCCCTTCTCCCAGATTCCATCCCCTTCTCCCAGATTCCATCCCTTTCTCCCAGATTCCATCCCCTTCTCCCATATTCCATCCCCTTCTCTCAGATTCTATCCCCTTCTCCCAGATTCCATCCCCTTCTCCCTGATTCCATCGCCTTCTCCCAGATTCCATCCCCTTCTCCCTCATTCTATCCCCTTCTCCCAGATTCCATCCCCTTCTCCCAGATTCCATCCCCTTCTCCCAGATTCCATCCCCTTCTCCCAGATTCCATCCCCTTCTCCCAGATTCCATCCCCTTCTCCCAGATTACATCCCCTTCTCCCAGATTCCATCCCGTTCTCCCAGATTCCATCCCCTTCTCCCTCGTTCCATCCCCTTCTCCCAGATTCCATCCCCTACTCCCAGATTCCATCCCCTTCTCCCCGATTCCAGTCCCTTCCCCCAAATTCCATCCCCTTCTCCCAAATTTCATCCCCTTCTCCCAGATTCCATCCCCTTCTCCCAGATTCCATCCCCTTCTCCCAGATTCCATCCCCTTCTCCCAGATTCCATCCCCTTCTCCCAGATTCCATCCCCTTCTCCCAGATTCCATCCCCTTCTCCCAGATTCCCTCCCCTTCTCCCAGATTCCATCCCCTTCTCCCAAATTCCATCCCCTTCTCCCAGATTCCATCCCCTTCTCCCAGATTCCATCCCTTTCTCCCAGATTCCATCCCCTTCTCCCATATTCCATCCCCTTCTCTCAGATTCTATCCCTTTCTCCCAGATTCCATCCCCTTCTCCCAGATTCCATCCCCTTCTCCCAGATCCATCCCCTTCTCCCAGATTCCATCCCCTTCTCCCTGATTCCATCCCCTTCTCCCAGATTCCATCCCCTTCTCCCTGATTCCATCCCCTTCTCCCAGATTCCATCCCCTTCTCCCAGATTCCATCCCTTTCTCCCAGATTCCATCCCCTCCTCCCAGATTCCATCCCCTTCTCCCAGATTCCATCCCCTTCTCCCTCATTCTATCCCCTTCTCCCAGATTCCATCCCCTTCTCCCAGATTCCATCCCCTTCTCCCAGATTCCATCCCCTTCTCCCAGATTCCATCCCCTTCTCCCAGATTCCATTCCCTTCTCCCAGATTCCATCCCCTTCTCCCAGATTCCATCCCCTTCTCCCAGATTCCATCCCCTTCTCCCAGATTCCATCCCCTTCTCCCAGATTCCATCCCCTTCTCCCTGATTCCATCCCCTTCTCCCAGATTCCATCCCTTCTCCCAGATTCCATCCCCTTCTCCCAGATTACATCCCCTTCTCCCAGATTCCATCCCGTTCTCCCAGATTCCATCCCCTTCTCCTTCGTTCCATCCCCTTCTCCCAGATTCCATCCCCTACTCCCAGATTCCATCCCCTTCTCCCAGATTCCATCCCCTTCTCCCCGATTCCAGTCCCTTCCCCCAAATTCCATCCCCTTCTCCCAAATTCCATCCCCTTCTCCCAGATTCCATCCCCTTCTCCCAGATTCCATCCCCTTCTCCCAGATTCCATCCCCTTCTCCCAGATTCCATCCCCTTCTCCCAGATTCCATCCCCTTCTCCCAGATTCCATCCCCTTCTCCCAGATTCCCTCCCCTTCTCCCAGATTCCATCCCCTTCTCCCAAATTCCATCCCCTTCTCCCAGATTCCATCCCCTTCTCCCAGATTCCATCCCTTTCTCCCAGATTCCATCCCCTTCTCCCATATTCCATCCCCTTCTCTCAGATTCTATCCCCTTCTCCCAGATTCCATCCCCTTCTCCCAGATTCCATCCCCTTCTCCCAGATCCATCCCCTTCTCCCAGATTCCATCCCCTTCTCCCAGATTCCATCCCCTTCTCCCAGATTCCATCCCCTTCTCCCAGATTCCATCCCCTCCTCCCAGATTCCATCCCCTTCTCCCAGATTCCATCCCCTTCTCCCTCATTCTATCCCCTTCTCCCACATTCCATCCCCTTCTCCCAGATTCCATCCCCTTCTCCCAGATTCCATCCCCTTCTCCCAGATTCCATCCCCTTCTCCCAGATTCCATCCCCTTCTCCCAGATTCCATCCCTTCTCCTGATTCCATCCCCTTCTCCCAGATTCCATCCCTTCTCCCGGATTCCATCCCCTTCTCCCATATTACATCCCCTTCTTCCAGATTCCATCCCCTTCTCCCAGATTCCATCCCCTTCTCCCTCGTTCCATCCCCTTCTCCCAGATTCCATCCCCTACTCCCAGATTCCATCCCCTTCTCCCAGATTCCATCCCCTTCTCCCCGATTCCAGTCCCTTCCCCCAGATTCCATCCCCTTCTCCCAAATCCCATCCCTTTCTCCCAGATTCCATCCCCTTCTCCTCGAATCCATCCCCTTCTCCCTCGTTCCATCCCCTTCTTCCCGATTCCATCCCCTTCTCCCAGATTCCATCCCCTTCTCCCCGATTCCACCCCCTTTTCCGAGATTTCATCCCCTTCTCCTAGATTCTATCACCTTCTCCCAGATTCCATCCCCTTCTCCCAGATTCCATCCCCTTCTCCCACATTCCATCCCCTTCTCCCAGATTCCATCCCCTCCTCCCAGATTCCATCCCCTTCTCCCAGATTCCATCCCCTTCTCCCTCATTCTATCCCCTTCTCCCAGATTCCATCCCCTTCTCCCAGATTCCATCCCCTTCTCCCAGATTCCATCCCCTTCTCCCAGATTCCATCCCCTTCTCCCAGATTCCATCCCCTTCTCCCAGATTCCATCCCCTTCTCCCTGATTCCATCCCCTTCTCCCAGATTCCATCCCTTCTCCCAGATTCCATCCCCTTCTCCCAGATTACATCCCCTTCTCCCAGATTCCATCTCGTTCTCCCAGATTCCATCCCGTTCTCCCTCGTTCCATCCCCTTCTCCCAGATTCCATCCCCTTCTCCCAGATTCCATCCCCTTCTCCCAGATTCCATCCCCTTCTCCCCGATTCCAGTCCCTTCCCCCAAATTCCATCCCTTTCTCCCAAATTCCATCCCCTTCTCCCAGATTCCATCCCCTTCTCCCAGATTCCATCCCCTTCTCCCAGATTCCATCCCCTTCTCCCAGATTCCATCCCCTTCTCCCAGATTCCATCCCCTTCTCCCAGATTCCATCCCCTTCTCCCTGATTCCATCCCCTTCTCCCAGATTCCATCCCCTTCTCCCTGATTCCATCCCCTTCTCCCAGATTCCATCCCCTTCTCCCAGATTCCATCCCTTTCTCCCAGATTCCATCCCCTCCTCCCAGATTCCATCCCCTTCTCCCAGATTCCATCCCCTTCTCCCTCATTCTATCCCCTTCTCCCAGATTCCATCCCCTTCTCCCAGATTCCATCCCCTTCTCCCAGATTCCATCCCCTTCTCCCAGATTCCATCCCCTTCTCCCAGATTCCATTCCCTTCTCCCAGATTCCATCCCCTTCTCCCAGATTCCATCCCCTTCTCCCAGATTCCATCCCCTTCTCCCAGATTCCATCCCCTTCTCCCAGATTCCATCCCCTTCTCCCTGATTCCATCCCCTTCTCCCAGATTCCATCCCTTCTCCCAGATTCCATCCCCTTCTCCCAGATTACATCCCCTTCTCCCAGATTCCATCCCGTTCTCCCAGATTCCATCCCCTTCTCCTTCGTTCCATCCCCTTCTCCCAGATTCCATCCCCTACTCCCAGATTCCATCCCCTTCTCCCAGATTCCATCCCCTTCTCCCCGATTCCAGTCCCTTCCCCCAAATTCCATCCCCTTCTCCCAAATTCCATCCCCTTCTCCCAGATTCCATCCCCTTCTCCCAGATTCCATCCCCTTCTCCCAGATTCCATCCCCTTCTCCCAGATTCCATCCCCTTCTCCCAGATTCCATCCCCTTCTCCCAGATTCCATCCCCTTCTCCCAGATTCCCTCCCCTTCTCCCAGATTCCATCCCCTTCTCCCAAATTCCATCCCCTTCTCCCAGATTCCATCCCCTTCTCCCAGATTCCATCCCTTTCTCCCAGATTCCATCCCCTTCTCCCATATTCCATCCCCTTCTCTCAGATTCTATCCCCTTCTCCCAGATTCCATCCCCTTCTCCCAGATTCCATCCCCTTCTCCCAGATCCATCCCCTTCTCCCAGATTCCATCCCCTTCTCCCAGATTCCATCCCCTTCTCCCAGATTCCATCCCCTTCTCCCAGATTCCATCCCCTCCTCCCAGATTCCATCCCCTTCTCCCAGATTCCATCCCCTTCTCCCTCATTCTATCCCCTTCTCCCACATTCCATCCCCTTCTCCCAGATTCCATCCCCTTCTCCCAGATTCCATCCCCTTCTCCCAGATTCCATCCCCTTCTCCCAGATTCCATCCCCTTCTCCCAGATTCCATCCCCTTCTCCCTGATTCCATCCCCTTCTCCCAGATTCCATCCCTTCTCCCGGATTCCATCCCCTTCTCCCATATTACATCCCCTTCTTCCAGATTCCATCCCCTTCTCCCAGATTCCATCCCCTTCTCCCTCGTTCCATCCCCTTCTCCCAGATTCCATCCCCTACTCCCAGATTCCATCCCCTTCTCCCAGATTCCATCCCCTTCTCCCCGATTCCAGTCCCTTCCCCCAGATTCCATCCCCTTCTCCCAAATCCCATCCCTTTCTCCCAGATTCCATCCCCTTCTCCTCGAATCCATCCCCTTCTCCCTCGTTCCATCCCCTTCTTCCCGATTCCATCCCCTTCTCCCAGATTCCATCCCCTTCTCCCCGATTCCACCCCCTTTTCCGAGATTTCATCCCCTTCTCCTAGATTCTATCACCTTCTCCCAGATTCCATCCCCTTCTCCCAGATTCCATCCCCTTCTCCCACATTCCATCCCCTTCTCCCAGATTCCATCCCCTCCTCCCAGATTCCATCCCCTTCTCCCAGATTCCATCCCCTTCTCCCTCATTCTATCCCCTTCTCCCAGATTCCATCCCCTTCTCCCAGATTCCATCCCCTTCTCCCAGATTCCATCCCCTTCTCCCAGATTCCATCCCCTTCTCCCAGATTCCATCCCCTTCTCCCAGATTCCATCCCCTTCTCCCTGATTCCATCCCCTTCTCCCAGATTCCATCCCTTCTCCCAGATTCCATCCCCTTCTCCCAGATTACATCCCCTTCTCCCAGATTCCATCTCGTTCTCCCAGATTCCATCCCGTTCTCCCTCGTTCCATCCCCTTCTCCCAGATTCCATCCCCTTCTCCCAGATTCCATCCCCTTCTCCCAGATTCCATCCCCTTCTCCCCGATTCCAGTCCCTTCCCCCAAATTCCATCCCTTTCTCCCAAATTCCATCCCCTTCTCCCAGATTCCATCCCCTTCTCCCAGATTCCATCCCCTTCTCCCAGATTCCATCCCCTTCTCCCAGATTCCATCCCCTTCTCCCAGATTCCATCCCCTTCTCCCAGATTCCATCCCCTTCTCCCAGATTCCATCCCCTTCTCCCAGATTCCATCCCCTTCTCCCAAATTCCATCCCCTTCTCCCAGATTCCATCCCCTTCTCCTAGATTCCATCCCTTTCTCCCAGATTCCATCCCCTTCTCCCATATTCCATCCCCTTCTCTCAGATTCTATCCCCTTCTCCCAGATTCCATCCCCTTCTCCCAGATTCCATCCCCTTCTCCCAGATCCATCCCTTTCTCCCAGATTCCATCCCCTTCTCCGAGATTCCATCCCCTTCTCCCAGATTCCATCCCCTTCTCCCAGATTCCATCCCCTCCTCCCAGATTCCATCCCCTTCCCCCTGATTCCATCCCCTTCTCCCAGATTCCATCCCTTCTCCCAGATTCCATCCCCTTCTCCAAGATTACATCCCCTTCTCCCAGATTCCATCCCCTTCTCCCAGATTCCATCCCCTTCTCCCTCGTTCCATCCCCTTCTCCCAGATTCCATCCCCTACTCCCAGATTCCATCCCCTTCTCCCCGATTCCATCCCCTTCTCCCAGATTCCATCCCCTTCTCCCAGATTCCATCCCCTTCTCCCAGATTCCATCCCCTTCTCCCAGATTCCATCCCCTTCTCCCAGATTCCATCCCCTTCTCCCAGATTCCATCCCCTTCTCCCTGATTCCATCCCCTTTTCCAGATTCCATCCCTTCTCCCAGATTCCATCCCCTTCTCCCAGATTACATCCCCTTCTCCCAGATTCCATCTCGTTCTCCCAGATTCCATCCCGTTCTCCCTCGTTCCATCCCCTTCTCCCAGATTCCATCCCCTTCTCCCAGATTCCATCCCCTTCTCCCAGATTCCATCCCCTTCTCCCCGATTCCAGTCCCTTCCCCCAAATTCCATCCCTTTCTCCCAAATTCCATCCCCTTCTCCCAGATTCCATCCCCTTCTCCCAGATTCCATCCCCTTCTCCCAGATTCCATCCCCTTCTCCCAGATTCCATCCCCTTCTCCCAGATTCCATCCCCTTCTCCCAGATTCCATCCCCTTCTCCCAGATTCCATCCCCTTCTCCCAGATTCCATCCCCTTCTCCCAAATTCCATCCCCTTCTCCCAGATTCCATCCCCTTCTCCTAGATTCCATCCCTTTCTCCCAGATTCCATCCCCTTCTCCCATATTCCATCCCCTTCTCTCAGATTCTATCCCCTTCTCCCAGATTCCATCCCCTTCTCCCAGATTCCATCCCCTTCTCCCAGATCCATCCCTTTCTCCCAGATTCCATCCCCTTCTCCGAGATTCCATCCCCTTCTCCCAGATTCCATCCCCTTCTCCCAGATTCCATCCCCTCCTCCCAGATTCCATCCCCTTCCCCCTGATTCCATCCCCTTCTCCCAGATTCCATCCCTTCTCCCAGATTCCATCCCCTTCTCCAAGATTACATCCCCTTCTCCCAGATTCCATCCCCTTCTCCCAGATTCCATCCCCTTCTCCCTCGTTCCATCCCCTTCTCCCAGATTCCATCCCCTACTCCCAGATTCCATCCCCTTCTCCCCGATTCCATCCCCTTCTCCCAGATTCCATCCCCTTCTCCCAGATTCCATCCCCTTCTCCCAAATTCCATCCCCTTCTCCCAGATTCCATCCCCTTCTCCCAGATTCCATCCCTTTCTCCCAGATTCCATCCCCTTCTCCCATATTCCATCCCCTTCTCTCAGATTCTATCCCCTTCTCCCAGATTCCATCCCCTTCTCCCAGATTCCATCCCCTTCTCCCAAATCCATCCCCTTCTCCCAGATTCCATCCCCTTCTCCGAGATTCCATCCCCTTCTCCCAGATTCGATCCCCTTCTCCCAGATTCCATCCCCTCCTCCCAGATTCCATCCCTTCTCCCAGATTCCATCCCCTTCTCCCTCATTCTATCCCCTTCTCCCAGATTCCATCCCCTTCTCCCAGATTCCATCCCCTTCTCCCAGATTCCATCCCCTTCTCCCAGATTCCATCCCCTTCTCCCAGATTCCATCCCCTTCTCCCAGATTCCATCCCCTTCTCCCTGATTCCATCCCCTTCTCCCAGATTCCATCCCTTCTCCCAGATTCCATCCCCTTCTCCCATATTACATCCCCTTCTCCCAGATTCCATCCCCTTCTCCCAGATTCCATCCCCTTCTCCCTCGTTCCATCCCCTTCTCCCAGATTCCATCCCCTACTCCCAGATTCCATCCCCTTCTCCCAGATTCCATCCCCTTCTCCCCGATTCCAGTCCCTTCCCCCAGATTCCATCCCCTTCTCCCAAATCCCATCCCTTTCTCCCAGATTCCATCCCCTTCTCCCTCGTTCCATCCCCTTCTTCCCGATTCCATCCCCTTCTCCCAGATTCCATCCCCTTCTCCCCGATTCCACCCCCTTTTCCGAGATTCCATCCCCTTCTCCTAGATTCTATCACCTTCTCCCAGATTCCATCCCCTTCTCCCAGATTCCATCCCCTTCTCCCCGATTCCATCCCCTTCTCCCAAATTCCATCCCCTTCTCCCAGATTCCATCCCCTTCTCCCAGATTCCATCCCTTTCTCCTAGATTCCATCCCCTTCTCCCATATTCCATCCCGTTCTCTCAGATTCTATCCCCTTCTCCCAGATTCCATCCCCTTCTCCCAGATTCCATCCCCTTCTCTCAGATTCCATCCCCTTCTCCCTCATTCCATCCCCTTCTCCCTGATTCCACCCCTTCTCCTAGATTCCATCCTTCTCCCAGATTCCATCCCCTTCTCCCATATTCTATCCCCTTCTCCCAGATTCCATCCCCTTCTCCATCATTCCATCCCCTTCTCCCAGATTCTGTCCCGTTCTCCCAGATTCCATCCCCTTCTCCCAGATTCCATCCCCTTCTTCCAGATTCCATCCTCTTTTCCCTCATTCCATATCGTTCTCCCATATTCCATCCCCTTCTTCCAGATTCCATCCCCTTCTCCCATATTCCATCCCCTTCTCCCCGATTCCATCCCCTTCTCCCAGATTCCATTTCCTTCTCCCAGATTCCATCCCCTTCTCCCAGATTCCATCCCCTTCTCCCATATTCCATCCCTTTCTCCCAGATTCCATCCCCTTCTCCCAAATTCCATCCCATTCTCCCAGATTCCATCCCCTTCTCCCAGATTCCATCCCCTTCTCCCGGATTCCATCCCCTTCTCCCATATTCAATCCCCTTCTCTCAGATTCCATCCCCTTCTCCCAGATTCCATCCCCTTCTCCCAGATTCCACCCCCTTCTCCCAGATTCCATCCCCTTCTCCCTCGTTCCATCCCCTTCTCCCTGATTCCACCCCTTCTCCTAGATTCCATCCTTCTCCCATATTCCATCCCCTTCTCCCATATTCTATCCCCTTCTCCCAGATTCCATCCCCTTCTCCATCATTCCATCCCCTTCTCCCAGATTCTGTCCCGTTCTCCTTGATTCCATCCCCTTCTCCCAGATTCCATCCCCTTCTTCCAGATTCCATCCTCTTCTCCCTCATTCCATATCGTTCTCCGATATTCCATCCCCTTCTTCCAGATTCCATCCCCTTCTCCCATATTCCATCCCCTTCTCCCCGATTCCATCCCCTTCTCCCAGATTCCATTTCCTTCTCCCAGATTCCATCCCCTTCTCCCAGATTCCATCCCCTTCTCCCATATTCCATCCCTTTCTCCCAGATTCCATCCCCTTCTCCCAAATTCCATCCCCCTTCTCCCAGATTCCATCCCCTTCTCCCAGATTCCATCCCCTTCTCCCGGATTCCATCCCCTTCTCCCATATTCCATCCCCTTCTCTCAGATTCCATCCCCTTCTCCCAGATTCCATCCCCTTCTCCCAGATTCCATCCCCTTCTCCCAGATTCCATCCCCTTCTCCCTCGTTCCATCCCCTTCTCCCAGATTCCATCCCCTTCTCCCAGATTCCATCCTTCTCCCAGATTCCATCCCCTTCTCCCATATTCTATCCCCTTCTCCCAGATTCCATCCCCTTCTCCATCATTCCATCCCCTTCTCCCAGATTCTGTCCCGTTCTCCCAGATTCCATCCCCTTCTCCCAGATTCCATCCCCTTCTTCCAGATTCCATCCTCTTCTCCCTCATTCCATATCGTTCTCCCATATTCCATCCCCTTCTTCCAGATTCCATCCCCTTCTCCCATATTCCATCCCCTTCTCCCCGATTCCATCCCCTTCTCCCAGATTCCATTTCTTTCTCCCATATTCCATCCCCTTCTCCCAGATTCCATCCCCTTCTCCCATATTCCATCCCTTTCTCCCAGATTCCATCCCCTTCTCCCAGATTCCATCCCCTTCTCCCAGATTCCATCCCCTTCTCCCAGATTCCATCTCCTTCTTCCAGATTCCACCCCCTCCTCCCAGATTCCATCCCTCTCTCCCAGATTCCACCCCCTTCTCCCAGATTCCATCCCCTTCTCCCAGATTCCATCCCCTTCTCCCTGATTCCATCCCCTTCTCCCAGATTCTATCCCCTTCTCCCAGATTCCATCCCCTTCTCCCAGAGTCCACCCCCTTCTCCCAGATTTCATCCCCTTCTCCCAGATTCCACCCCCTACTCCCAGATTCCATCCCCTTCTCCCAGATTCCATACCCTTCTCCCAGATTCCATCCCCTTCTCCCATATTCCATCCCTTTCTCCCAGATTCCATCCCCTTCTCCCAAATTCCATCCCCTTCTCCCAGATTCCATCCCCTTCTCCCATATTCCATCCCTTTCTCCCAGATTCCATCCCCTTCTCCCAGATTCCATCCCCTTCTCCAGATTCCATCCCCTTCTCCCAGATTCCATCTCCTTCTTCCAGATTCCACCCCCTCCTTCCAGATTCCATCCCTCTCTCCCAGATTCCACCCCCTTCTCCCAGATTCCATCCCCTTCTCCCAGATTCCATCCCCCTTCTCCCTGATTCCATCCCCTTCTCCCCAGATTCTATCCCCTTCTCCCAGATTCCATCCCCTTCTCCCAGAGTCCACCCCCTTCTCCCAGATTTCATCCCCTTCTCCCAGATTCCACCCCCTACTCCCAGATTCCATCCCCTTCTCCCAGATTCCATACCCTTCTCCCAGATTCCATCCCCTTCTCCATATTCCATCCCTTTCTCCCAGATTCCATCCCCTTCTCCCAAATTCCATCCCCTTCTCCCAGATTCCATCCCCTTCTCCCAGATTCCATCCCTTCTCCCGGATTCCATCCCCTTCTCCCATATTCCATCCCCTTCTCTCAGATTCCATCCCCTTCTCCCAGATTCCATCCCCTTCTCCCAGATTCCATCCCCTTCTCCCAGATTCCATCCCCTTCTCCCTCGTTCCATCCCCTTCTCCCAGATTCCATCCCCTTCTCCCAGATTCCATCCTTCTCCCAGATTCCATCCCCTTCTCCCATATTCTATCCCCTTCTCCCAGATTCCATCCCCTTCTCCATCATTCCATCCCCTTCTCCAGATTCTGTCCCGTTCTCCCAGATTCCATCCCCTTCTCCCAGATTCCATCCCCTTCTTCCAGATTCCATCCTCTTCTCCCTCATTCCATATCGTTCTCCCATATTCCATCCCCTTCTTCCAGATTCCATCCCTTCTCCCATATCCATCCCCTTCTCCCCGATTCCATCCCCTTCTCCCAGATTCCATTTCTTTCTCCCATATTCCATCCCCTTCTCCCAGATTCCATCCCCTTCTCCCATATTCCATCCCTTTCTCCCAGATTCCATCCCCTTCTCCCAGATTCCATCCCCTTCTCCCAGATTCCATCCCCTTCTCCCAGATTCCATCTCCTTCTTCCAGATTCCACCCCTCCTCCCAGATTCCATCCCTCTCTCCAGATTCCACCCCTTCTCCCAGATTCCATCCCCTTCTCCCAGATTCCATCCCCTTCTCCCTGATTCCATCCCCTTCTCCCAGATTCTATCCCCTTCTCCCAGATTCCATCCCCTTCTCCCAGAGTCCACCCCTTCTCCCAGATTTCATCCCTTCTCCCAGATTCCACCCCCTACTCCCAGATTCCATCCCCTTCTCCCAGATTCCATACCCTTCTCCCAGATTCCATCCCTTCTCCCATATTCCATCCCTTTCTCCCAGATTCCATCCCCTTCTCCCAAATTCCATCCCTTCTCCCAGATTCCATCCCCTTCTCCCAGATTCCATCCCCTTCTCCCGGATTCCATCCCCTTCTCCCATATTCCATCCCCTTCTCTCAGATTCCATCCCCTTCTCCCAGATTCCATCCCCTTCTCCCAGATTCCATCCCCTTCTCCCAGATTCCATCCCCTTCTCCCTCGTTCCATCCCCTTCTCCCAGATTCCATCCCCTTCTCCCAGATTCCATCCTTCTCCCAGATTCCATCCCCTTCTCCCATATTCTATCCCCTTCTCCCAGATTCCATCCCCTTCTCCATCATTCCATCCCCTTCTCCCAGATTCTGTCCCGTTCTCCCAGATTCCATCCCCTTCTCCCAGATTCCATCCCCTTCTTCCAGATTCC